TTTTAAAAGTATAGATTTCAGCATTTTTCATTCAGATGCACAAGCTCCTTGGGAATACTTTATCTGGAACTGGTTGACAGATCGCACCCAAAGAGTGCTTATCAATGGTTCCTCATCTTCTTGGAGAGGGGTGACAAATGGATTGCCTCAAGGATCTATCCTGGGACCTGTTTTGTTCAACATCTTTATCAATGATTTGGATGAAGGAAAAGAGGAAATGCTTATTAAAATTTTGCAGATGACACCAAATTGGGAAGGGTAGTCAGGATATAGGATGATCTTGACAGGCTGGAAAACTGGGCTAAAACAAATAAAATGAATTTCATTGGGTTTAAATGTAAAGTTCTGCATTTAGGTAGGAAAAATCAAATGCATTATTATAGGTTGGGGGAGACTTGTCTTGGAAGTAGTATGTGCGAAAAGGATCTAGAGGTCTTGGTAGACCACACGCTGAACATGAGTCAGCAGTGTGATGCGGTTGCTAAAAAGGCAAATGTAATTTTGGGCTGTATCAACAGAAGTATAGTGTCCAGATCACGAGATGTGATGGTACCATTTTAATAGACAAGCTGGAACATGTCCAAAGGAGGGCAACGAAGGTAGTGAGGGGTCTGTAGACCAAGTCCTATGAGGAATGGTTGAAGGAGCTAGGTATGTTTAGCCTGGAGAGGAGACGGCTGAGAGGTGATATGATAACCATCGTCAAGTACTTGAAGGGCCATCATCTAGAGGATGGTATGGAGTTGTTTGCTGTTGCCCCAGAAGGTCAGACCAGAACCAACGGGTTGGAATTAAATCAGAAGAGTTTTTGGCTAAACATTAGGAAGAACTTCATGACAGAATGGTTCCTCAGTGAAACAGGCTTCCTCGGGAGGTGGTGGGCTCTCCTTCTTTGGAGGTTTTCAAACAGAGGCTAGATGGCCATCTGAGAGAAATGTGGATTCTATGAACTTAGGCAGATCATAAGAGAGAGGGCAGGAAGGGTTGCCTCACTGCTTAGTTCTTGTGGCCCTCTCTTACACACCCAGAGAAATGCTGATTGCCACTTTGGGGTCAGGAAGCAATTTTTCTCCAGGCCAGTTTGGCCAGGGATCCTGGAGGTTTGTTGTCATCTTCTGGGCATGGAAACAGCGGTCACTGCAGGTGTGGAGGGGGAGGTATTTGTGGATTTCCTGCCTTGTGCAGGGGGGAGGTCCCTTCCAACTCTATGATTCTATGATTATTATTTTTTTTAAAAAAAGACTTGGGTAAAGAAATGTGACAGAATATTCTATGTTATAAGAAATGGCCAATTTCTTAACCAGAAAGAGCAGTCCAATATGAGAGCAGCCTGTCTAGGGATGTTGCCAAACCCCCATCCTTGGAACGTGAAAAGACCGAGCAAGCATCTGTCAAGGATGCTTGAGGTATAAGATGTACTGCCTTAGGGCAGAGTGTTGGATGAGGTGATTTTGCATTTCTTCAGCTCTAAGTTCTCCCGGGCCATCTCAGTGGACAAATTGGACCAGGCGGCACCATAATTTTAAGCTCTCCTCTGCCTGTCTCAATAGGGCATGGCTGTTATTGTGCATGCTAAGAAGACAGACCCTTCTTGGCCTCAATATAACACTCTCCAGATCATCCCAAGAATGGCAAGGCAAGGGTTGTGCGGATAAGCACCTAGCTGGACGGCCATATGTCACCATTCTCCCCTTTCTGTAATCACAAAGAGAAAGATTTCTCAGCTATGCCCATGAGATAAAGAATAAACACAGTTTTGCTAAACGGCACGATCTATCAACTGCACAACGTTTGGGGCAGCAGCTGCAGACTGTGCCAGGTTTAATCTGAGCACTCTGCTTGCTTGAATGGATATTCAGAAAGCACCGGGGTGGAAAGGGAAATAATATAGCTTTCCTTGCAGTCCTTTGTTTTCCTGGCAGAGGAATCTTTTTGGAAGGCTATCAGTAACATCAAGCAGTGTGACAAAACAATTTCTAAGGTGTCACACAGCTCTTTATAGATGGCTCCCTTTCAAGAAGAAGAAAAACCTTCTTGGCTTTAGAAAAAAAAAACAGAGGCCATCGGGATGCTTGCCAAAACAAAGTGCATCATACAAAATAGCTGTATTATATCATATATCGAACTCCCCTCCCTGTAGTGTTAATCATGTGGTGGAAGAGAGGGTCAGAGAAATGAAACTTCTGTTATTTGGAAAGTGAAGCCACAGACAATAGTGACAGCATTTCTCGGCGTCGGAAAGAAAAGAAAACACAAAAGTAAACACAGCACAGCCATGTGTGTTCAAATTGCTTTAGGGTCGTCCAAAAGGCATGAATTAGAAATCAGGACTCATCCAAGGGGCCAAATAGGCACATACACACAGGAAGCTGGCAGGTCATATGTTGTCTACTGTGACTGGCAGTGGCTCTCCAGTGTCTCAAGTCAAGGCCTTTCACTTCACCTAATATCCGATCCCTTTAACTGGAGATGCTGGAGACTGAATCTTGGATGCTCTGCATACAAAGCAGATGCTCTACCACTGAGCCACAACCCTATCGGTCTGTCTTTCTAAAAATGTTAACGGCAGGTGTGACCGGGCTCCAAGAGAAGTATGCTCAGGATTGCAGCCTCTATCCGGCTTCAAGTCACCTAGATTTGGATAACACATGGACTGCTCTGCGGTGTTCCCCCTTACAGAGCCAGTTTGGTGTAGTGGTTAAGTGCGCGGACTCTAATCTGGGAGAACCGGGTTTGATTCCCCACTCCTTCACTTGCACCTGGCTGGATGACCTTGGGCAAGCCGTAGTTCTGATAAGAGCTGTCCTTGAAAAAGAGCAGTTTCTGCCAAGAGCTCTCTCAGCCCCACCTACCTCACAGGGTGTCTGTTGTGGGGAGGGGAAGGGAAAGGAGTTTGTAAGCCGCTCTGAGACACCTTTGGGTAGTGAAGGGCGGAGTATAAATCCAATCTCTTCTTCTTCATCTTGGGGATGACTGGCTGCCCAGATGTTTGAGAGCCCTGCCCATGGCCTTGAACTGGTATCTGGAACCTGCTTGGACTGGAAGATCGAAGCCCATGCTTCGTCATCTTACTTTACCCCTTTTGACTACTTGAGTGTGTATTTTTGAATGTTTGCAACTTTGCATAGACATTCTGTATTTGGTATTGTCATTCCTAGGAGTGGGATGTGGAAGAAGGAAGGTTTTCCTTTCACAGTCAGGCTACATTAGTGCAATTCTGGGCCAACTTGGAAAGAGGGCTCCATTCACACACACGTCTCGGGTACATGTAGATCATCTTGGGTACACGTACCTTGGGTACAAACAGTAACAACACATGCTTCCTCAGCCGGCTAGAGAAACTTACAGAAACTGGCTTCCACATTCCTCTGGCCGCTAGATAAATCAGTGAGAGGAATACTACCTCAGCAAAGAGGAAGGTGCCTTATTTTATGTGGTCAAGGAGTGACCCAGGAATGAGATGAATGAAAGGCAAGTAATTGTCATACATCACAAGGTTTTGAAAAAGGATTTGGAGGATAGGTCTCTCATTGATTATTAGGCGTGTTAATTAATTGGAACGTCCCTATTCAGAGGCAGTATAACAGAGTACCAGGCAATGGTCCCTCTAAGCTGTGGAGTCTTGTGAGCAAAAATTCTACTTTGTGAGCTACTGGCATTCAAGTTGTGAGTGAGCAATTTGGCTACTGCATAAATCAGTTTGCTCTGGAGCCATCCTTCCTGAGCCAAGGCAAAACTGTGTGAGCCAGAGGCTAAAAAACTGTGAGCTAGCTCACATTAACTCAGCTTAGAGGGAACACTGGTACCAGGTACTCTGGAGAAACCAGAGAAGGTTGTTGCCTTCACTTTCTGCTTGCAATTTTCCTGGAGGCATCTAACTAGCAGAATAATAATAAATTAGATTGATTTTTGATATGATCCTTCAAAGCATTTCTTACATTCCCATCAGACGGGCACATTTTCTATTTCTGCTAGACAGACCTAGGTTTTAGCCCCTATCAGCTGCTATGCTAGCCCGTATCTCTTCACACCCCACAAATGGAAGCAAATGTATGTGTGAAGAAGAAGGTAAATGGCACCTATAATAAGCACACTATACAAACACAACTAACCAGTAATATGACATTTATATAAGGGCACTCAAGAAATAGGTGTATGGATGAGCTAGGTTAATGAAGTCCTAATACAGCCCTGGTTGACAGCAACAACAGGTTGACTTTTTCACTGTTGTCTGTATGGCAAACTCAAGCAGAAAAGGCATAATTTCCTGCCTTAGTTGATAAGACATGGCTTTGTTACTTCATTTCAACACACAGGATGCCCCACAATACATTAACTGAAGTTTCCAATAATATTCTATTACATTTCCATTGGAAATGGAGTCTCTCCTTCATTTTCATTTTCATCTAGAGCACATCTGCTTTCCCTTCTCAGGTATATTAAATCAAGAGGGGCTGGATTCCAACCCCAAATCAGAAGATTTACATCTGAAACAAACCCTCTGAGCCTGCATAAGTTCAGTCATAACAATCACATTACGTTTTGGTGGACGGCAAGTTTCTTCAACCCTAAATTTCCACCAGAAAAGAAACATTAAAATATATTCATATATATTTGGGGTGGATTTCATAGCCTTAAATCAATTATAATTCTGAGTGAATTGTAAAGACTAGAGACTTCTAAATCTATAGCATTTCTTAAAAGATTATATTCATTTTTCTTAAAATTTAAGATCCTATAAAGAAAGGCACATACTTATAAAAATTGGGAATACTGAGTTGCTCACTCCACCATTTTCATTATTTATATACATATATATCTCTTTATAAATATAATCTATGTACAAAGCCAAATGTGCCCACGGCTTTGTAGGAAGACGCAGCAGAAATAAAGCTACAGCGTGAACTCCCTTCCAAACTGGGTCCTGCATCTGGACCATCGTTTCACCTGAATGAACACATTTTAGGAGCAGAGAAAACAAAACAGAATCAAGCCGCTGCCTTTTATTATTCTGACTCACTTGCGGGGATCAAAGGGAGTTGCTAATAAGCTGTGGGAGGAGCAATAAGCAGTAGACAAGCACCCAGAGGAAAACAATGAAATAAAACAACTCGGGCTGGTCTGACCGCGAAGGGCTGCTGTGTGGAACAGACTTGTCTGGAGCGTCCCTCTTTTCCAGGCCTTTTCTCTTCCTAGAAAGGACGTAAGCAAACATGCAGTGATGACGGGAACGACAGAGGCAATACGAAGCAAAGGTTCGTATCGCTTATGTATAGTTTATTTTTATTTACAAATTCATATTCCGCGTTCTGCCCGACCGGGGCCAGCAAGGCAGCTAACAATTAAAAGCACAACATTCAAAAACAATTATAAAACCCATTTAAAACTAAAGGCAAGATACACATATTAAAAATATATATATTATATATATAAAAAGTCAAAGGCTGTATATTCAGTTCTAGTCCGCTTTTCTCGGCAAAGATCTTTCCACAGGGTAGCCGTGCTGGCCTGCAATAGAACAGCTAGATCTGAGTCCTAGTGCACCCTAGAGACCCACAAGGTTTGGGGGCGAAAAGCTTTCAAGAGTCAAAGCTCTGACGAAGGGCAGTTTGACTACTGAAAGCTCATAGCCCCCCCCCCCCCGAAAAAAAATCTTGTTGGTCTTTAAGGTGCTGCTGGACTTGAATCCAGCTTTCTCACTAAGACCCAAAGCTGATCACGCACTTCAAAACAACGCAACAGATTGTAAACACATAACAACCAACCGTGGAATAAAACTGGGATGACACCCAAGACAGAGGAAATTGCTAAACATTGTACCGGTCAGATGACAAACAATGCAGCAGTATGCTGAACAGCAAAATCAGAGGACCGTGCAACAAAAACGGCAGTGGAAACCACCTAAAATATCCCAAGCAAGGCTGGGGAACCTTTTCTTGGCCTGAGTGACAGACGGAGCACCGTGTCTACCTGTCGGTGCTCCAGCAAACAAAACTGGGGGGGGGGGGCGGAGGGGAAAAAAAAAGTTTCCGGGGGGAAGAGAGGAAAATAAAAGTTATGCTGGACACAGAAGTGAGTAGTTGGGGGAGGGGGGGAGCAGCAGCCTCTGCTCTGCAAAGTATGGTTGCCAATTATGGGATGTGATGCCATGCAGTCCCCCTTCTGCATCCGCCATTTTCTATGGGGACTGATCCCCATAGGCTGGAGATCAGTTGTTATTCCAGAACTCCAGGACCCACTTCGAGGCTGGTCAGAATATTGCAGGGGGCTGGCAGCACTTTACAGGCAGCTGGCAATGCACTTTATAGTCTATGCACCCTAAGCAGCGATTTTGTACACCTGTGTAGCAGACCGCCGACCATTGGGGCAGGGCTTCTGCCAACTGTTGGGGTGGGAAGCAGAAGGTGCTCCAATTGATGACATCACCAGTCCAGGCCACCCCCAAATAAAACAGTCCCAGTGTTGTGCTTCAATCTGATATCATTTCAGTTGAGGAAAGGACAATGGCAGCAATCCTGAGTGAGTCTACTCAGCATTTCATTCAACCCCACTGAATGGGGCATACTCCCAGGAAAGAAGACTGTAGCCTAAGGGGGCTTAGCCTAAGGGTTTAAGCTTGGCTTTGAAGGAATACAGAGCAGTGGCACTATGTTGGTGTTTTGGGGAGTACAGGCCTAAGAGCAGCAAGGGGGAATGTGTGGAATGTATATAACCAGTCAGCCCATAGATGGGATGTCTAGAGGGGCTGTGGCTCAGTGTGGTGAACATCTACTTAGCTCTCAGAAAGTCCCAGGTTCAATCCCAGCAACCACAGTTAAAAAGACCAGGCAGTAGGTGATGTGACTCTGCCTACGACCCTGGAAAGCTGCTATCAGTCTGAGTAGACACTACCAACTCTGATGGACCAATGGACTGATTCAGTATAAGGCAGTTTCATCTGTCCCTCTGCCCTGACCTAGATAGCCCAGGCTAGCCCGATCTTGTCAGACCTCAGAAGCTAAGCAGGGTTGGCCATGGCTAGTATTTGGAAGGGCAACCTCCAAGGAATACCAGGGTCATGACGGAGGGGCAGGCAATGGCAAACCACCTCTGAAACATCTCCTGCCTTAAAAACAAGTCTAGCTCACCACCTAGTGGTGTGTAACACTAAAGAGCTAGGACTTCTGGCTGCCAAACAATCTTAGGATCTCCTAAGATTCTACACAAAATGCCATACTACTCTACACAAAATGCCATACAATAATACTAACAATAACAATGTGTCCCTCTGTGTGTGTGTGTGTGTGAGGTAGAGAGAGAGAGAGAGAAGATAAAAGGCTGTATCATATATATACTAGCTAAATATTATCAGCCATGAAGGGTAAGGGTCGAGCCTAGATTGGTGGGCCACACACTTCTAAACAGTTTGCCTCCTTCATCCAGCCCCATTACACAAAATGCCATACTATTCTACACAAAATGCCATACAACAGTGTGTCCCTCTGTGTGTGTGTGTGTGTGTGTGAGGCAGAGAGAGAGAGAGAAGATAAAAGGCTGTATCATATATATACTAGCTAAATATTATCAGCCATGAAGGGTAAGGGTCGAGCCTAGATTGGTGGGCCACACACTTCTAAACAGTTTGCCTCCTTCATCCAGCCCCACTCTCAGAAAGACGTCCATACAATTAGGACCTGACTGTGCTTCTGTAGCATTCTGAGATTGAAATGAACCCACACTGGTGCCCAAACTGTGGCAGATGCAAGCAATTTCATTTGCAAAACACACTGCAAAAGAATCACACCAAGCCTGCACATTTTCTGGTTCTATTTCCTCAGAGGCCTGAGATACAAGCCCCCTCAGAAGTCCCCAAAAGTTCTGCCAGATGACATGGCATAGACACAAAGGTGGCAGAGAAACGAGGAAGCTTTGCCACCAACACTGCCACAGAGTAGAGAATAATATGCTTTCACGTGTGTTTGGTCACATTCACTCTGAGTTTGCCTCCACATGCTCTAACCATTTGCTCAACCATTTCAGCCCACCACTGAGGTTATTCCTGCATTCCACTGGTTGACCAGGGCTTTAAAAAGAAACAGCAACCTTGTTGACTGGAATATTCCCAAGAGACAGTAGAAAACCCTATGGACCAAGCAGCCTCCTGCGGCAAGCCCTGCTAACCAGTCAATGAGGAAACTATCTCCCTATGATGACAACTGGTCGAAACGAACTGCAATTGTACTTCTGTAGACACAGTCCTAGGAGATCTGAATCACTTGGAGGGTGAATATGAACCCTGGTTGAATTTGGCTGTTTTGTGAATGGAGCACATTTCACGAAAGTGATTTTTACCAACTCCTCCCTTCTTCCAGCTGCCTCCTGCAAAGCTCCTTCCAAGGACGCCAGTCAATGAGGAAAGTATCTCCCTACGAAGACAACTGGTTGAAACTAACTGCAATTGTACTTCTGTAGACAGTGCTAGAAGATCTGAATCACTTGGAGGGTGAACATGAACCCTGGTTAAATCTGGCTGTTTTGTGAATGGAGCACATTTCACGAAAGTGATTTTTACCAACTCCTCCCTTCTTCCAGCTGCCTCCTGCAAAGCTCCTTCCAAGGACCAAGCAACCCTCCAGAACACGGGACTGTGGCAAGAAAGGGAAATCTGCTCAAATCACCCTCTCTGCAACACCTTAGGCAGGTTTTTACCTGGTTCATGGAGCCTGCTTCAGCTGCCCAATAATCAGAGGAAGAGAGTTTTTGGGCAAATCCCCCCCCCTCTTGCTGCCATGTGACAAATTGTTCTGGAAGGCCCCCAGCTTTCAAAGGTGATGGGGGGGGGGGAGTAGCACTGACCTGGATAGCCCAGGCAAGACCAATTTTGTCAGATCTCGGAAACTAAGCAGGGTCGACTCTGGTTAGTACTTGGGTGGGAGACTTCCTTGGAATACCAAGTCGGGAGGACAGGGGCAGGCTTTGTTCAGCCACCTCTCTGAATAGTCTCCAGGCCCCCAGTAGGGGTCAGTCACCAGAGGTCGACATAACCTCCAGGTGCGCGCACACACACACACACACACACACAAAGTGATGGGGGGGGGAAGCTGCTAGCAGAAGGGGAAAGTGGCAAAAAAATCCATTTCTGTAAACCTGCTCCATCTGCAGAGGTTTGGATATAATATTTAAAGAAAATCACAGCATGCTTTTGACAGCATTGGAGTTTGTGTGACAGAGGCCCATTCTAGCAAGGCAAATATGGACAGTGCAATCCTACATACAGATATACTCTTGTAAGCCCACTGAGTTCAACTGACTCAGAAAGGTGGTGTAACTCTGTTTAGGATTCCACTGCAAGTCAACTACTGTCCTTGCTGCTTCCCACCCCTGTACGTCCTCAGAGTTACCTGCCTTTGTTCACATTTAGAAGGACACGTGATGTTTATTCATTTACATGTTCCTCTCCTTTTTAAAGGATTCTTCCCCTAAAGTTGCGAAACAGTCCCAGTGATGAGCAGAGGGAGGAGTCATCTTGGTGATAAGACAGGCACTAGCCAATCAGCACCATCCATAGTCAGTTTTTGCTACAAACTTGCACAGATTTGGGGGTGCTTTCCCCCACTGGAACCTGACCCAGTAGAAGAAAAGGCAGACCTGTACTGAATGCAGCAAGAGTGGTTCTGAACCAGCTCTCCTGCTGTTACATCTCTCTTCACTCAAAGGCTCAACTTAGAAAAGGAAGGAAAAATGTACCCACCTGGGTGAGGAAGTAAAACTTTCACTGGCGACTACGCTTTTCTGGTCATCAGCACTATCGCTTTCCTGAAAATATTTAATTGCAAATGTTTAATCCACAAAGACCTGGGATGCAAAAATAACTGATACAGCAATAGAAACATCTTACTTTGAGATGAAGAGCAGAAGGAATATACGGAAATTATTTTTTAAAAACCCACTTACTTACCTTACTGGCCTGATCACCGGTTCTTTGGAAACCGACATTGGGATCACTGTGGCAGACCCTGAAAAATGAATTAGTAATAAGTAGGGGCCATGGTGGCTTCAGAGGTTAAGATGCTGAGCTGCAGCCCAGAAGGTCGGTAGCTCGGCAGTTCGAGACCCTAGTGCTGCATGATGGAGTGAGCCCCAACTCCTGCTAACCTAGCAGTCCGAAAACAAGAAATTGCAAGTAGATAAATAGGTACCGCTTCGGTGGGAAGGTAACAGTGTTCTGTGCGCCTTGGCGTCTAGTCATGCCGGCCACATGACCACAGAAACGTCTTCAGACAGCACTGACTCTTAGGGTTGGAAACAGAGATGAGCACCGCCTCTAGAGTTGGACATGACTAACTTTTGAGCAAGGGAAACTTTTACCTTTACTAAGGTACATTTGGGGGGAAGGGCCTGGATCCAGTACTTTTGCATGAAGGCACACACTTCTTCATATACATTTTAGGCCACCTGATTAAGTAAATAATGTATTTACTCAAATGCAAGATTAGATCCCCCCCCCCGTGTGCCATCAAAAAAATGGGATGGTCTTACATTCACATACTAGTTACAGTTAGGTCCAGTAACAAAAATACTTTTGTGTGTATAACTTTTTAAAAGGGTTATCATGTTCACAGTCATCTTCCCTTCGAATAAACATGGTATCCTCATTTCCCGTGTGGCCCAGATCTCCATATTCCTATGCCACTAGCATAACCATGTAACCACAATCATAGAATCACAGAATTGGAAGGTACCTCCAAGGTCATCTAGTCCAACCCCCTGCACCATGCAGGAAATTCACAAATACCTAAGTCTAAATATGCCCAGGCCAATCTGAAGAAGTTATGTCACAGTGGACAAACTGTGGCTCCTAGAAATGAAGTGATCTAGGCCCCTAATTTCCTTATGTAGTTGGGGTACTTCACCTAATCTCCTTCGCCCCATATAGAGAGAATGAGTGGAACTACGGGCATAGCAGTAATGGCCATGGGATGAAATGAAGGGTCAACTAGGTAGGTTCTCAGTGGCAGTGCACATGCATGATGGAGTGGTTACAGAGTTGAACTAGGTTCTGGGAGACCCAGGTTTGAATCCCCACTCTGCCATAGACGCTCATTGGGTAACTTTGGGCCAGTCACTCTCTCTCAGCCTAACCTAGCTGGTTGCTGTAAGGATATAACGGAGAATGATGTTGTGAGCCACTTCATGTTCCCAATAGAAGGAAATTGGGGTGTAAATAATCACAGTAATAAATAAGGTCTCGGTTCAGTCCCAACATCTCCAGCTGGTAGCAGGTGCTGGCAAATGCTCTGTCTGAGCCACTTGTCAGTCAGAGTATGCTACCTATCTAGAGTACAATTTAGCCTAGTACTAAGCCAGTTGAACCAATAGGCAGACTAAGTGTAATGTACATCCGTATATCTTACAGAAAAGGGAGAAGAGTCACAGCTGGGCAGGAGGCCCTTAGGAAGTCAAAACGTAATCCTCTGTGGAACACAAATTCTTGGAACTTAATTAACAAATGGTGGGAGGGGAGACAGGCACGGGACAGCGTTACCTGAAAGCATAAACTTGGCTTGAGACTATCCATTGTACTAAAGAAGTTCAGCCAGGCTGGTTCAGTGTACAGAATGCTGGCCCTGGAAGAATGAAGTCAAAGTCCCACGCTCAGCTGTGAGCCCAGCGAAAAACAATGAGAACTCTGTGCTCTCTCTCAACCTACAACCTTCATCTTGACAACATTAATGGCCTCCCCTCCGCACGAAGCAAGTGTCACGAAGCTTGGCTACTCGACAACTGCAAAGTGCCTCTGTGAAAAAACAGCTGGGCTACCACTGAGGCTTGGAAAGTGTGTCTAACCCCTGGCTAGGAATGGAATGAGCCAGGAAGAGGTGGCGCCCCTAGATGCAGAAGAGTGCAGACTGTGTGGAAAGCAAAGGAGGGAAGGCAAGACTGCCCTGCTGGGGAGCTTGAACCTTAACAATAGGCTTGTAACACTTTGCTTAAGGTGCCCTGACCTGGATAGCCCAGGCAAGCCTGATCTCGCCAGATCTCGGAAGCTAAGCAGGGCCGACCCTGGCAAGTATTTGGATGGGAGACCTCCAAAGAATACCAGGGTTAGGAGGCAGAGGCGGGATATCATGCCACTTCTCTGACTGTCCTTCACGCCCCAGGAGGAGTTGCCAAAGGTCACTATGACTTCCAGGCACAGATACACACACACACGCACAAAACCCATTGTTTAAGGTAACAATGACTTATGGATAGAAATCGGTAAGGGAGGGTGACTTTTGTTCTAAATTGTAAATTTTAGAATTGTTTCAGGACCGTGTTATCTAATTGGGAGTTCATTTGGGATCTTCATCACGGAGGCTGGTGCACAGTGTTCAGCTGGAGACTTCTTGGGCTGCCAGCAAGAGGGAAAAGATGGACTTTGGGGGTGACAAGCTATGAAGGAGAGATAGGTTAATTGCTTGGATTTTAAAAGATCATTGTTCTGTTGTGTTACTAAGTTCTATGTTTTAGTACATGATATGACGTTAAGTGAAAAGTAAAATTTGTTTTATCCTCTTTGAATAATTGCAAGATTCATTCCAAGTTCTGCCCCACAGAACCCACAAACCGAGGTTACACATGCATATGAATAAATTAAGTCAAATGAGCTCATACTGTCTGTTCCTGCTACACTGCTAGGGGCGTCCAAAGAGAAGAAGAGCCTAAAGCCTAGAGAGCTGGGGGCAGGAGCGGGAAGGGACATTGTGGGTGTGAAACGGGAAGTCTTTCAAAGGTTTTTAGTGCTGCCAATCAACTGGCTCAACGGGTAAGCTGGTTCTGAATGAAGAGAGGACTGCTGTACTGAACGAACTTGGGTCATGATCCTACCAGATCTGAGCTCTTTTAAGCCCCACTGATGTCAACAAGAGAGTTAAGGACACAGTTAAATCTTTTCTGCTGGAAGAGGCTTAACTATGAACTGGATCGTGCATGCACCCTGCTCCCACTTGTCTAGGATTGCAGCCAAGTCATCCCACAATATCTGAGGCAGGGCTGGTGAAGAAGAAGAAGACGAAGACGACGAAGAAGAAGAAGACGAAGAAGAAGAAGAAGAAGAAGAAGAGGAGGAGGAGGAGGAGGAGGAGGAGATTGGATTTATACCCCACCCTTCACCACCCAAAGGTGTCTCAGAGCGGCTTACAAACTCCTTTCCCTCCCCCTCCCCACAACAGACACCCTGTGAGGTAGGTGGGGCTGAGAGAGCTCTTTCGAGGACTGCTCTTTTTCAAGAACAGCTCTTATCAGAACTACAGCTTGCCCAAGGTCATCCAGCCAGGTGCAAGTGGAGGAGTGGGGAATCAAACCCGGTTCTCCCAGATTGGAGTCCGCGCACTTAACCACTACACCAAACTGGCGCACTTAACCACTATACCAAGCTGTGCCTGGGACCTGGACAAGGTGAATAGCCGGAGAGGTCTTATATTTGGGTAAATGTTGGAATCAGACCAAGAAAACTATACCTTGAGAGTCCCGGATGATCCGCAGAATCTTCTTCTACCTTATCTAGTAATCGAGTGGAGCCAGCTTTTGCACCTTGGGTGTTTTCTCCTTGGAAAATGGCCTTATTTTTCCTTTTTTCTTTCCTTTTACTTTTTTCCTCTGTCGTTTTTCTTTCTTCCGGCACTGCTGTAGTATCAAATTGATTTACCACTATCTGTTTTAAAAAAGAAATCCCTTTCAAAAGCCAAGCACAGCGTAAGTTTATCAAGACCCTCCTGACAGCAGCTCAGCCTCTTCCGCAGAGTTGTATTCAGTATGCAATGACACAAATGTAGCTTTACTGATACCCAAACAAGGGAGAAGAGAACAGGCCTCTATCCTAAAGCAGACCGTCTACACTGGTAGCTGTTGCCTCAATACACAATAACTGCACCTGGCATCTGAGGACACTTGGCACACTTTCAAAGGCAAAGAGGTCAACCAGGGAAACAAGCACCAGGTGTCTAGCATCTCAGGGCTTACTTCCATTTGATGCTCTTACCTGTTGTTATATTTTCAACTAGATGGCATCCCTTTTTGCTTCTTCCCAGCACACAAGACTTAATACCTACTAACCATACCATTGCACCTACTGAAATCAACAAAGCATCTTGCATCCTACACAAGATGCAGTGAGAGAGGCCTCGAGACCATTGGCTAAAGATCCCACTAGCCTGAAGAAGAGTTCTGGAGACCTCAAAAGCTCACACAATTGTGTTATTGGTTGGTTGGTTAGTTTAATATAAGGTATTACATGGCTTCTGTTTGCACCTACTACCTTTTTAAAAGCTGTTCACCTAAAATGGTCACATCGTTAAAATTTGCCTTAGCCGTAACACAAATCAAGCTTCATAAAAATATAACAACTGCTATATGGACAGAATTACATTATGAACAAAGATATGGAAAAACAACAAACATTCTTCCAGAATGTCACAACATGAAGGCACTGTGGTCCCTGGGTGTCAGATATGCTGACATCGTTCTGTTATTTCTCACCAGAATCTTTTAGCTACCTGGACAATACTTAGCAGCTTGTATCCAACCATTCTGCTCAGCAAAGTTCATAGCCTTCTGCTTGCTTCAAACTTTGCTGAAGAGAGTTGTAACTCCCGCAAGACCCTTTGTCAGAAAAAAGTATCTGTATCCTCATAAAGTTCCCTCTTACCACCATCTCGTCTCCTTGGTGTGTTTCAACATATTACCTATTGCTGATCTTTCTGGAGGACTTTCTAACATGCCACATGGTCAAAGGATTTGTTCTTGCCGTCTTTGGGTGCCTGAAACCCCTGACACTTTTTCTTCACATGCAAATTCTGTAGCAGTTTAAGAGCTTCTCTGATCATTCCCCTTCTTGTAACTTTTCCCAGCCATTCAGAGGGCTACCTACCACTTAATCTTCTGTCTGGAAATGAAACTCACATCAGTCTAGTAGTTGCCAAATATATCTTGGCTGAACTAAAAATTCCAGTTACTTCCATTAAGTTAGTGCCTAGTTAGAGGCTTCAAACATTGCTGAAGAGAGTGGTAACTCTCGCAAGACCCTTTGTCAGCAAAAAGTATCTGTATTCTCATATAGTTCCCTCTTACCACCATCTCGTCTCCTTGGTGTGTTTCAACATATTACCTATTGCTGATCTTTCTGGAGGACTTTCTAACATGCCACATGGTCAAAGGATTTGTTCTTGCCGTCTTTGGGTGCCTGAAACCCCTGACACTTTTTCTTCACATGCAAATTCTGTAGCAGTTTAAGAGCTTCTCTGATCATTCCCCTTCTTGTAACTTTTCCCAGCCATTCAGAGGGCTACCTACCACTTAATCTTCTGTCTGGAAATGAAACTCACATCAGTCTAGTAGTTGCCAAATATATCTTGGCTGAACTAAAAATTCCAGTTACTTCCATTAAGTTAGTGCCTAGTTAGATATGCAGCAATTCTGTTGGCTATTTTTAATTTTAATTCAATATTTTAAATTATGTATTCAACACTGACTTATTTCTAAAGTGCTGAATGTTCTTTTTACTCATGTATTTCAAATATTGTCATATTATTTTTGTCTAAAAGCCTACGCACTATGCAGGCTTCCTTGAATAAATGAATGATAAACAGAATGGTAGGACACATGTTGCTAAGAACTATACAGGTAGCTAGACAATTCTGATGAGCATTAACAGCAAAATTTAAAAAGTTTAATAGGATCTGTTTTGCATCTGCATATATGTCGATTCCTTGTCCACAAATAGACCAGTGTCTATATATGTGTCCTTCCAGAAGATGTGAAAGAAATGTGTGCCTCCGATATTCTAAAACTGATTCCACCTGCGCTGGCTCCCAAATTGCTTCTGGGTCCAATTCAAGGTGCTGGTACTGACCTTCAGAGTTCTAAACGGCTTGAATCAGCATATCTTAAGGACTGCCTGCTCCCACAGGAACCTACCCAAGTCATCTTTACTCATCTTTACTGCTTCAGGGGCTCCACCATCTAAGGTTAGATGTGTGATAGCTGAAGAATGGGCCTTCTCTGTTGTAGCATGAAAATTATGGAATTTCCTCCTCATTTGTCCCACTCTAACACTGTCTTCTGCCAGTGGGTGAAAACTTTTCTGTCTTGGTTGATATTCCTTCAGAGACCCTCATTAATCCCTCCTCTTTTTATGTGTAAGCCTCTATGTGTTTGTGTTTTAGAATCATAGAATCACAGAGTTGGAAGGGGCCATACAGACCATCCAGTCCAACTCCCTGCCCAATGCAGGACCAGCCTAAAGCATCTCTGACAAATATTCATCCAGCCTTCTTCTTGAAAGCTGTCAGTGAAGGGGAGCTAACCACCTCCCTAGGCAGCTGATTCCACCTTTGAACCACTCCGACCGTGAAAAAGTTTTTCTTGATATCCAGCCGATACCTTTCTGCATGTAATTTATACCCGTTGCTTCGGGTCCTATCCTCTGCTGCCAACTGGAACAGCTCCTTGCCATCCTCCAAATGACATCCTTTCATATATTTAAAGAGAGCAATCATGCCCCCCCCAGTCTCCTCTTCTCCAAACTAAACATTCCCAAAGCCCTTATTGCCTTTCCTCATAGGGCTCAGTCTCCAGACCCCTGATCATCCTCGTCGCTCTCTTCTGCACCTTCTCGATTTTGCCTACACCCTTTTTGAAGTGAGAACTGTTGTTACTGTTTTATGTTTAGGTGCATTTAAAAATGTGTTTTGTCTGTTATCTGCCTTGGGAACACTAAACTGGGTAGAAAGGTGGCATAAAAACATCTACAATAAATAAATGATCTAAAACTAGACACCGAAACCCGTAGTGGTAGTGAGATCACTGAATTCACCATTACCAGACATATACAAATGCAACTTTCATGCAGCTGATTTTCTGCTATGCATATCCTACGAACACAGACTGATGGAAAGCAAGCAGATACCATGTGTGAGATTGCTCTACAAAAATAACAATCAATTTATGCCCCAAAACCTGACTGCTTCCTTGAACCTAATATTGCAAATACACATGGGCCCACTTTTGGTTATCTGGTAGCAAGTTTCGTTCATATGAATCACACTCTTGAGTTGCACATATACATAACAAGAATACCTCTTGCTAACCAAGATCATAGGATACAGTACATTAGCTTGATCACCATTATGGAAGCTGGTTTTGTTGCTTCGTTCACTAGTTCGTAGATTAGAGGGTTGCAAGAAAGGCAAACTTGTTGGGATTAGAGGGGTTTATAAGCTTTTGTTTGGCTTACCACTCACTGTAACGATAGAGTTTTATGACTTGTATGTAAATGCTGTTATGCTACTTTACTCTGTTTAATAAAAAAATAAATAAATAAAAGAATACCTCTTGTACATTTTCTACCAGGTACAGAACCCCATGGCTACTTAAACTCAGTGTGCATTACATTATCAGAAAGTCAGACTCAAAACAAAGGATGAAATTGCAGTCGTTGACAGCAATGTACGTGTGCGGTGAATGAAACTGAAACATGGTGGCAGTTGACATAGACATCTGTATGTTGACTATTTGAGATAGACTTTCTAAAATGTCCAAAATACTTTCCAAAATGTCCAACTGTAAGATGTTGGGCACTTAGTTTAGGATAGTCGCCAGACTCATCTGAGTACATCAGCATTCACATCAATATCAATAGTTCTGTATATTATCTGCACCATATACATATGTAACTACAAAGCGAAACATACACCAAATGGAACATTTGGTCAATGCTGAAGGCACTGCTATAAGGTTAGAAAAGTGAAGATCTGAGAAAAGAACATGACAAGGACACATCTGGCATTCCTTAAGATTAGCCAAAGGCAGCGGGCACCAACTTAAAGAGAACAATGTAATTAACAATTTGTTAATCACCCAGTCGACCCAAAGTTTGCTCCATGGTATAAAATTGTTAAAAATATATATCATTTTAGAGCTTCCTATTTGGTAGATATAACAGCATATAACCTCAGAATGGCGTTCACATCATTACGCTTTTAAACTATGCCAACGGAGCTACTTACTGGATGATACTCAAAAAATACCACAGGAACAATACATCTGTATATGCAGAAGTTTGGTGGAAGACCTTCTTCATTATGTTTTAGTTTGCCCTTTATACTTGGAGCCTAGAAACAAATTTCTGACTAAGACATTAGAGACTTTATATTCTCTTTCCGATTCTGACAAATTAGCATTTATGCTGTCAGACGTGGATTTCCTTGTCTCCAGCAAGATGGCACTCTGCTCTAGTTGCTAGGAAAATCAGAGCAAATGCGGTTTCTCAAAAAGCAGCCAAATGGAATGATATGCAATTTTTGTGTCTGATTGAGAATTCTTAGAGATATATCAGAAATTTTAAAATTCTAGGGCTGTAAATATGTTTTAACTTGTAAAGGTCAATGGCCATATACAATTAACTTTATTACCTTACCAGTATTCTAAAATCATCTGAATGGCATACAATGGCCCCGGACACACGGGAGGTTTTGGCCCGGAAGAAGGATGGATCGGGGGCGCAGGAAACGGGCGCGATCACACCGCAACATCTGGGAAGCGGTGCGCACCCGTCCTCGATCCGTCCCTTCAGGCCGAAAACACGCATTAAAAAAACCCCTAGGAAATAGTAGCACCTACCTGAAACGCCACAGCAAGCGCGGCCATGGGATCGCCGGCGCGCCCGTCTTCAGGAGCATTCGAGGCTCCCGGCCGAACTGCGCATGCGCACACATGCGCAGCCGGCTGCCTCGCTCTCCCTTCCGTGGCATCCCCCCCCGGCATCTGATTGTGCCGGGGAGCAACTGTACAACGGCTCAGGGGATCTGTCTGATCCCGCCGCCGCGTGTCTCTTTTGGTGCGGCTCTAAAAAGCCACACTTTGGCCACGTCAATTTCCCCCATGTGACCGGGGCCAATGCAAGTTTAAGACATTATGGGCCAACTGTGCTTAAATATGCATGGAAACATAAGAACAAACATTACCACAGGGACTTCAGGGTGTGCAGAATCTTTCTGAGAAGAGGTGACATTACTTCTGGCTTTAGGCACAGCACTTTTTCCTACTATTGTAGCTTCTGCACTGTTCAGGGAAGACTTGGTATGACTGCAAGTATTTTTCTTTCGTTTTCCCAAGATTTTGTCATCAGTTGGCATTGGTGAAACCTCCACATTGGCATGGAGGCCTGGCTTTAGATTTTCCTCCTCATTCGTTAGGGCAAGGGACTCTTTCTCAGCTAAATTGTTCCCAGAAACCTCAGGACAGATTTTATTGCTTTCAGAAAGAGATGAATCTGTGTCAAGGGTAGTAAAGGCATCTAGAACTGCTGATATAGGAACATCATAATGTGGATAATAAAAGAGGTCGTGGGGAATTACAGAAACTTTAGAAGAGTTTGCTATCATTTCGGGCAATGATGCACCTTGATTAGTAATATCTATGCTCTTGGGAGTGTTTCTAATTGCTAGGGAGAGACGTTCAGATGGAGAAGGTAAAGACGTGTCAGAATTATCCGTGAAATTAGATGACTCAGCTTCTTGATCCGCAGAATCCACTGTTTCTGGAAGTTTAGCTATCTCCTCATGCAGCATCTGTAATACATATTGATGTGCAGTCTGTTCCACTGGAGAATCTGATACTGGATGCTCCCTTGTCAGACCTGATTCATTTTTAAGTGGATGTGAAGTCTGAGATAATGAGCCAGTCTCTCCATCAAGCAATTTTTGCATTTTATTGGACGGCTCCTGCACATCAATTTCTTCTTGGCCGCCTTCTGAAGAACCAACTGGGTCAATGGGATATTCGCTGTTCATAAGGACTTCAGGGGGAAGCTTGTCATTCCTCTTCAGTGAATCTTGCATGTTCGCTTGATTCCCTTCAGGCCCATTTATTTTATTGGCAAGAATGTCGGTCACAGGGCCGGACTGAAAACCAAAGGGTTCAATAACTGGCAGAGAGGTGGGCCTCGGAGGATCTTCTGAATGCAGCAATTCTGTGAGAGTCTCTGAATGATCAGATAAAGGTTGGTTCAGATTGTCATGGAGTTTATTTGCCCTACGCAAATTCTGGTCCTCCTGATCAAGAGGCAGATCAAGAATATGGACTTTTGGAGGTGGTGACTGGCTCCTGTCCCAGTGAGTGGTATAAGTGTGGCCCCCATTCTCATTCAGAACTAAGATCTTCTCTGGTTTTTCTTCCCCTGGTATGTCTTTGATATGGACATAAGTAGATTCAACTGGAAATTCCTTGTCTGGGTCTGAAAAATCTTCCTGTATTGCATGAAGGAAAAATAATGACCATTAATATGGAATAATATTCTGTGCTTCCACCAAGTTAGAGAAATAACCATTGGCTACAATCCTAAAATCACATAAGTAATGCTCCCTCTAAGCTGTGGAGTCTTGTGAGCAAAAATTCTACTTGGTGAGCTACTGGCAGTAAAGTTGTGAGTGAAAAATTTGGCTGCTGCAGAAATTAGTTTTCTCAGGAGCCATCCTCCCTGAGCTAAGACAAAAACGTGTGAGCCGGAGGCTAAAAAACTGTGAGCAATCTCACGCTAACTCAGCTTAGAGGGAACGCTGCTCCTGAATAGATCTACTTAGGGTTGCATTCTATTATCTCAATGTATATGAATGGGGCTAGTGGCCAAGAAAGCTTTATAGCTGATTTAATTGACAAAGATTGACGAGAATTTGAGAATTCCATACAGTCTAGGCAAATCCACATGGCTCTGATTTAAGAGACTGGATGGGCTGCTTTTGCACTTCTGAATTGTACAGTCCAGATGTGCCAGGGGTTTTGATTTAGCCTGTGTTGCTTTCTTTGGTAGATCACTTGGCTGATAGAAACTCACAGAGCTACATTCCTATGGTAGTACTGGAGAGGGCAGAGTTCTATATAAAAAGTGATACTTTTTTTTAAGGGACTCTTCCATGTTCAGAGGCAACATACTGCCAATTCTCAAATGTTTGGATGGAAGAGAGTTGAAAGAAAAGGTTTGGAGTAGGGGATTCGCACATATGGAAATAGTGTTTTTTCATCAGTAGATAAAAGCTTCACGCTAATAATTTATCAACACTGAAATGTACAGAAATACTTGAGTCTGGTGGCAAGCTTATGCAAGCTTCTGTTGGTTATGAAGAAATCACTGATTTGGAAACCATTTCTTCAAAACCTCATCTGGAAACAACGGCTGGCTATGACCCAGGTTGGGCTGCATTGAACAGAGCTGGAGAGTCACTCACTACATCCTGGAAGATATTCCAGAGATGGGATGTACCAGAACACAGCAAACCGCACTGAGTGTGTGTAATGGGGCATCCACAAGGCAAATTCAGAAGGGCTAGAGGCAGTGAAATGCACTTTTCAGTTCACTTATGCTTCTTAGAAACTGGGTGAATCAATCCACAGCGGGTTGGATCTTACAAGCTGATTGGATGGGGTAAAAAAGAAGACGGAGTTCCCTCTGACCAACCAAAAAGGCTATGTTGGGGACTGTAGGATGTGCGTGGACAAAAATAATGTGGGAGGAGGGCTGAAATAAGGCGGAGAATGGAGCGTGATTGTGTGAGCTAAAAAGCTGGCTGGATCCAACCCAGTATCTGCATATCAACTAGTTGTGGATGGCAAAGTGGGAGGAAAGACCACAATTGTATCAAAGTCAGCTAATCAGGAAGCTATGGCTTATAAATCTACTCAGAATGAACTGTTTGTAATAATCACTCCAAGCAATAGGACATAAATCAACTTTTTAATTTTTAAAAGATTTTTAAAAGGTAAAAGGTGGGGAAGAAAGCACATACCCCTTCCAGCTCTGGGAAATGCTCCAAGAATTGTGCAATGTAGGTCACCACTGACTGTTCATCGGGTGATTCGACCATGATGTCTGAAAAGAAATCACACAATATGTTGAGGTTTCCCAACACTTATAAAGGAGGCTGTGAATTAAAACACATTCACAGAACAAGGGTGCAATCCAGCATGCTTCAATGAAAAAAGAATTGAGGACTTTTAATGTATTTACTCTTAATGGCGCCTTCTGGAAGCTTAATATTCCTCTCCAATCACAATCATAAATAGAGACTTCTTTCAGCCAGATAATGTGACCCAGATGACACTTCTGCACAACAAGGTTGCTTTGGTGTTTGGTTGCTGAAGGGTTTGTGGAGTGCTGAGTCTGTGTTGCTTCATAAGGGAAAATGTGCTGACGTCCTCCTGAATCTTTGGTCTCTAGAATCATGGCAATGAGTCTTTGTAGAGAGTCATACCATCTTCCAGAAGTTCAGAAGCAACTGATACAGCTTCCAAGTGAAACCAGCTCTGCAGAGTGCTGATTGGCTGGCCCCTCATAAGCAGTCATAAAGCTCACACCCTCCTTATCTTGCTGTCCAGATGGACAGAAAGGGCCAGCCAATCACAAAGCCATTACCTTCCCCTCATGATCCTAGATTTTTCAAAAGGCTACAAAAATGTATTGTGCTTAAAAGAAATGCACCCCCAATTGGAAGGTCCGGTAGCAACAGTCCACAGAGCCCATGCTTTATCTGTTTGCAGTAATAACCCAACAGGCAAGAAGAAGGCATTCAGCTATGGGGGAAAAAAAGTTACCTTCTGGCTCCAGAAGTCTTGGAATACCCAAATGGTCTTGTGCTATTGTGAAGGCATCCTCTATATTTTCCCGAGATGATTTATCCAAAGCTTGCTTAATGTCTACCAAGCTAGAGTCTATTGCTTTGATTATAGCTAAGAAAGCAAGCCCGCTTCGCCAACTGCTGGTGAAATCCTGAACTGCAACTCCATACCTAGACAAAGGACCAAAGAGGGCATTGTGACAATCCAAGCATACACACAAAAAAACAGAGTGCCAACGTCACAGCATGGTGTGTGGAGCAATGCCAGTTTGCCACAGACAGGGCATCCCTCCAGGGATCTCTCCCTCCCCACACTCCCCTTTCTCCCCCCCCCCTCCGCTTCCCGTCAGGCCTGGTGCAGTCTAGGGCCTTAATTAACAAGGTCCTTAGCCCCCTTTTTCATCAGGGTGCGTCCTGATGTATGGCTGAATTTGAGGCCTAAGAAACCCAGGCAGAATAAGCAAGAAAAGGTTTATTAAACAACTGCTATAACAAGTAATAGGAGAAAAGTTATAAAAATGAAGCAGAATGAATACAGGGCAAAACTCACAAAGGAAGAAGCCGGCCAGAAACCAACGAAGTTCTTCTATGCAACTGCCTTCCTTAGTTCCTACTTTACTTCACTATCTGAATTCCAGTAGGCCAGACTCACCTCACCATGTGGCGAAGAATCATTTCCCTCCAAGAGCAACATCACCACTGCTCAGCTTCCAGGAAAAAACGGCCTCCCTCTCTGTGCTCTCTGTTAGAGCTCTGCCACCTTAGCAGCAGTGGGTGTCCATTTCCCCTCCATTCTCCATCAGTCCAATCCTGAAGTTTGGATGATGCCTGGAAAATGTAGCCCTATTGCAAAATTTACACAAGGCCTCAGGCTAGGGTTGCCAAGTCCCTTGGAGCAGCCGGTGGGGAATGGGGGGAACACTTACCAGGAGCAGGGAAGAATGCCGGAAATTAATGTGACGTGCCTACATGACCTGGAAGTGACGTGGGCATGTTGGGGGAGTGATGCTCTGATTTTCGGGCAAAACTCTATGTTAGAATTAGCTTCTACCATAGGCTTTTGCCCCAAAACAACAGTGTTGCCCACCCCCCAATGTCCCCATGTCACTTCCAGGTCACACAGGCACATCTCGCTAATTTCCAGTGTTCTTCTCTTTTGTAATTTCAGCTGGCTGGCAGCGGAGAGGTAGGGGCTGAAAGCAGGAGACCCCTGCCCCCACCGGGTGACCAGGCATCCCCACCCCAGGCCTCTATGGAAAAGAGGCTTCCTTGAGGCCTACAAGTCACTCCTTTTGTCTGCCTACAAACATTAAAGGCACACTCAAAACTCCTGTAATGTTGAAAGCTTTTGGGATGAAATAACTTCCCAGCTTTAACCATTTCACATAAAGTGACTCAAAGCTAGATGGGGATCCCAAACCTTGTTATGCCTCTGGGCAATTTTGGAATTTCTGAGTAGTGGACATAGGGCTGCCAAGCCCCTTTCTGGGGGCAGCGGATTCCCTGCCTCCAAATTCCAGTGGCAAGAGAAAAATTAAAAAGAAGAAGAGAAGATTGGATTTATACCCCGCCCTGCACTACCCAAGGGAGTCTCAGAGCAACTTACAAACTCCTTTCCCTTCCCCTCCCCACAACAGACACCCTGTGAGGTAGGTGGGGCTGAGAGAGGTCTTTCAAAAACTGCCCTTGATAGAACAGCTCTGACAGAACTATGGCTTGCCCAAGGTCATCCAGCAGGTACAAGTGGAGGACTGGGGAATCAAACCCGGTTCTCCCAGATTAGAGTCCGCGCACTTAAACACTACACCAAACTGGTGTAAATCGTCTATTTACAAGACGTTCTTATCACAGAATTCCTGGTGATTCCTAGAGCTATCCAGAAGTGACAGAATAGTTTTAGGAATTGCCAGAAACTGTATGGCAAGAATTTCCAGTTTTACCATAGAGTTTCCAATTATTCCTATGGCTACCCAACGTCTTTTTAAAAACTTTTCCTGGATAATGCTCCCCCCCCATAACCCTGCCTGGCAACCCTGAGTGGACACCATGAAAACATAGCCAGTGCCTACCCTCATGTTAAGAAATGAAGAGCTACTGTGTTAGGCTTGCCAAGTCCCCCCGGGGGGGCGGGGAAACCCCCACCCCAGAGGCCCGTTCCCCGCCACCAGCGGATGAGGCCCCGGGGGGAACCCCACCCCGACGTGTGCGTCACCCGGAAGTTATGCAACCACGCCGGGCACGCTGGGGGCGGGGCCACGTTGATCGTCACGTCACTTCCGGGTGACGTGCGTGCAGTGCGCATGCGCTTCAGACACCGGACAGGAGTCCCCCGCTCCGGAGGAATTTACACTTGGCAACCCTATACTGTGTTCTAAGAATTATGTTCACATGCACGCATGCAAGACATCTGAAGAAGTCTTCCACCCAGTGGTGCTCTCAGATTATTAGACAACAGCGTGTATTTTCCCATTCTAGCTTAGTCTGTGGGTCTCAACCCCACATCAGTTTCCTGACGAGCAAATCAGGCAAGTACCCACCACTCTCAAACAGTAAAAAAGGAACTGGCACGCCTATCCTTCTGTTAGAAACGGCACACATTTTTGTATAATGGCAAGGATCTGTACACAAACATGTGTGCCGCTGGTCAATAAGAACAGGGATTGTTACTGACACGGGACAGACAGGAAGGGACCAAAAAGGACCTCTTCTCACTCCTGCTGCAAGGCCCCAGCATCCTGGTGGACCATGTGTGAACACTACATCGTCTGCTCTCAAGTTTGCACTGGATTCCCCTGGAATTAAGCCTGTTCTTGCAGACCACAGAGGGAAATTGTTCTTCCATCAGACAAGTGATGGGATTTGCAGCTGGGCTAATTTGAGACATTTCTAGGGAGAAAGGGGGGGAGGGAGCAAGGGGTGCACTCACTTTCTCGTTTTCCTTTGAACCCAGGTTAAAAGGGCCTTGATTGCTTTTCGCTGATCCTTCACTGAGACAGACATGCTTCTCTCCACATTAGGGGTGCTGGGATGAGACGTGTCTGAGTCAGGCCCGCTGGGCCCAGACGACAAGCTGGAAGAGGAGGAATTCCTATTGAGGTTGCCTGTAAGTTCCTTAATCTGGAACGAGAGAGGCGACAGCTGAGGTCAGAAGTCCCAAACAAAGAATCCATCATGCTGCCAACAGGACAAACAACCCTATTCATTTCTCTAGGCGAGTGTCGATAGCATAAAAGTCAGTTCGTGCCAGGTTCTCTTGCACGACACATGCAGTTGATTTGGGGCCAGTTTTGTGCCATCTGAAAACACTTGGCTTGGTGAGGGAAACACAGCAGGGTTGAAGTCAGTTCTGGCCAGCTCCTTTCCAGATTCAGACATGTTGCATTTAATAATAATAACAACAACAACAAGAAGAAGTGGGCTGGGTTCTGACTGTGTACTGTCTGTAGCAACCTCCCGCCCACAGTCCAAAGTGCTCAAGGGAAAAGTCTTCCGTTTTTTCTATATTTCATACAATATATATATATTACATGAAGCAACTCATTGCTCCATATAGGATAATCTTTTAGTAATTAAACTAGTACATAAACAGTACGGAGATGGTGTGGGAGGACTCACCAGAGCAACGTCCCACGAAATCCTGATGTCATTTCCAGCTACATAGCCAGAAGTGGCGTCACTGTGTCACAGGACATTCTAGAATTCACCCAGAACTCTACGGCATCAGGACATTGTGAAGTGACATTCCAACCCCACATTTCCCCCTTGCTGCTTGGGGGGAGAGTAGCCAACAGGGTTAGGACTTCCCCCACCAGATAAATGGCAATCCTAATCAATAAGTACGCTGGCTTGGATCCCATGAATGAGTTCCATGCATGCTAGACTGTCTCTGCTGCAAAGTGAGCTTCCTCTTCTGCTAAAACTTCCACCTGCACAAGACTGATGGTTCTCAATGGGCCTGAATGGTTGTGTGAGTGTATATGTGTATGGCTGTAGATCACTGAAATGATTGCACCTTTAATTTCGTTGTACTGTGTACAATGACAATAAAGTATATTATTATTATTATTTGTGCCAAACAGTTCTAATGGAAAAGGAAGAGCACTCTGCAGCAGATACTAAGGACGTACGGAACTCATCCATATGATTCAAGCCCTTCTCTTCTTTTCTTCCTTCAGCCAAGAAAAATTCAATCCTTCTAGTCTTTTTTTCTTGGGCACTTTCCATATGAAAAACCAACCCGTTCCTTAACTGTCAGGCTCCAGCTTCACTGCACCCAATTTTTTTGCACTCAGAACCCTTCCCAGTTAGAAAAAGCTCAAAACCAGCAATGCCTTCCATATGTACATAATAAGAAAATTACACGGCAACCTCTAATGTCTAATTAAGCAGCCACTCTGTGCAAATATTCTTTGATCAAATTAACCTGGACCAGATCAGCTCTGCATTTCAGCTAATACAAGGTCAACTCTATATGGTATAAGAGGAATTTAGGGCTAGAACTGTCATGTCTCCTAACAACGTTCATTTCATTTCATTTCTTTTTTTTAAGTTAGAAAAGGGGTTTTCATTTCTTTAGGAAGTTTTTTATGCCACCTCGCCTGGGGAACCTGGCCCAAGGCAACTCACCAAACACACAGGAAAACATAACACTTGAAGTTATAAATTAAAACTTAGCATTAAAAAAAACACCCAGTTGGGGAATTTTGAAAAAAAATTATTGAACAGTTTCAAATGAATTGTTTTCTGACTAAAACCACACTATCAAAAATGTTTAAAAACCAGCCTTTTAATGAAAAGCCTGGGTGACAGAAATATTTTGGCCAGGAGCCTAAAAGAAAGTAACATAGGCACTAAATAAGCCTCAGGGGGAAGGGCACTCCGCATGATGAGGTGCCACAACAGAAAAAGCCCTGTCTCTGGTTTCCACCTGCCTCACCTCTGAAAGTGGGGCCACAGAGAGCTGGGTTTGTGAGGCAGATCTTAACCGGTGAGCTGGACAATATGGGAGCAGGCAGTTCTTCAGATCTATATAGCTAATAGCCAAGGGTCCCTCTGTGTGCGGATATCTAAATCCACACATCGGGACCACATGGAGGGTAAACAGATTTTCCTGCACACTTGGGGCACTCCCCAGGAGTGCAGAAAAATCTGAAATGTTGAAAAAACTATATGGGGGATACTTAAATCCCCCCAAAAGTAAAGAAGCATTCCCTGTGCATGCGCAGAGAACGCACTTACCACTGGGAACTGTGGCATAGGCAGGGCTCACTGCCGTTGCTGCTGTCCGGGGCTTGGTGGGCCTGGCAACTGGGAGCTGCATGGTGCTCGCCGCCATTGCCACTGTCGGGGGGGAACCTTGGTGGGCCAGGTGGGATCCGCATGGGGCTTGCCGCCGTTGCCACTGTGTGTGGGGGGAGCCCTGCAGCTGCCTCCTCCTCCATGCAGAGCTCCTGCTGCTTCTGAGGGCCGGGAGCCATGGGGAATACTCCCCCCCTGCGAGTATCGCAGGTCCTTTTTATTGTTTTCCCCTAATTTATAGAGAGCAGACAGCACAGGCCACACTGCTGCTTTGCAAGTGGCAGAGATGTACCAGTCCATGTAAGGAAAACTGTAATGTAGTTTGAAAGAGGTGAGGGAAGACAGAGAAAAAGAGGGGCCTGCTTTCTGGAAGCTGTGGGTCACTAGACATTTTGAATTTGTGGCGCCTTTTCCTCACTAGATAAAACCAGAGCTGGTTCCATAATGAGGTGCCCTGAGGTAGTTCCCTCAGGTGGCATATTTTCAGGGGTAGGGTTGCCAACCTCCAGGTGGGATGTGGAGATCTCCTGCTATTACACTTGATCTCCAAACAACAGAGATGAATTCCCCTGGGGGGGGGAAATGCTTGTTTGGAGGATGGACTCTACGGCATTGTACCCCGCTGAGGTCTTTCTCCTCCCCAAAACCCACCCTTTCCAGGCTACACCTCCCAGATCTTCACGTATTTCCCAACCCAGAGATGGTAACCCTATTTGGGGGGAGGGCAACCTTGTATCCAGATTGCCCACAGCCAGCTTCCTAACCAGCCGGTCAGCTATGGACTGCCTGCAGTCTGACTGTCCTCACTCTCTATGGCAGATTGTTCCACAGGATCAGGTCTGCAGCTGAACTGAAAGAGCAGAACTAGTGTCCTGGAGGAGGGGATAGGAAGCAAAAACTGACTGAAGGCTCTTAGCCTTTTGAATTTGGCTTGTTCACCCCAACCCATAAAGAAACAGATAACATCAGCAGCCTGCACTGAGGCAGTTCTTGTTGGGAATGGCACCGCTGTGTTTGTTAGGTTAGAGGCTGAATTAGTGTCTCTGTCTGAGGCAGTTAACAGGTGCCCGGAAAGGCCTTTCCCTGCCTGAGGCCCTGGAGAACTGCACAAGTCAGAATACACAGCATGCAGCTAATTTGAAACAGATCTCATCTTTGTGCCATTGTTAGGGTTGCAAACAGACCTGGAGAAAAATGTTCTATCCCTTTAACAGAGGCTTAATGTGTGGAAATGAGCAGTTGAAGCTTTTCATGGCATGAATGTAAATAACATCACCTTAAACCTGTGTTACAGGATATTTTTCTCCAGATTTGTTGGCAACCATGGGCATTGTTAACCCCCCAAAAGGTTTTTAAAAGGACATGGGTAGCCTATCTTTTGAGGGTTGACAACTCTAAGGGGGGGGGGGGTTGATCAGCAAAACCTCCCAGGAGAAAAAGAGTTAACCCACCCCACGTGGGAGGCTTGGGGGTGGGGATACAAAGGAGGTGACAACACATGCACCATTACATCACTTCCGTGAAACCCCAGAAGTGACACTGGGTAGGAATCGCTGGAAATACTACGGTAAAACCACCGTTTCCAAAGATTGTTAGAGCTACCTTCTACCCTTCTGGGTTTTCACTGGAAGTGACATGTTTATTTTATTTATAAGCAGGGGTCATTTCGTAGAAAAAGAGCTAGGGGGACTCATTAGCATAACTCATTAGCATATGCCACACCCCCTGACATCACCGGAAGTGTGTCCTCCCCACAGCCGGCGGCGACCTCCAGCGGGCACCAGCAGGGAGCTCCAGGCCCCGCCCTCCCGCACCTCACCTGGGGGGATGGCGTCCCCCCGCGTCCCCCCCCAAATGACCCCTGTTTATAAGAGTTATTGGCTGTCGTTCTTCCTTACAGGAACTGAAGGAGGCTTACAATGTAAATAACAATAAAATGCATACAATATAAACACCACTAATTAAAATCAATAATTTAAAAATGCCAGTAGGCAGAAGAACTAATCAAATTAGCCATCATGAATAAAACTGTTGCATAACAGCGCATGCAATGCTGCTGGATTTTTTTCTTTAAAAAAATAATAAAAATCTTGTCCCAGTGCCACTTGGGACCTGGGAACAGGGGAAGACTTCCTGTTCCAACCAGGGGACTGGCAAAGCTGGGAGGATAAGATCATACATCTCTCAGCATCTCACTTATTTGGACTTGATTTAAATGTTTTTGGAACTCAATTCAGATTACTGACTATTTCAGTAGAAAAATCATTCCAAAGACTACAGAGGTAAAAAGAAACACATTTTTTTAAAAAAAATTAAACTTGGAACAATTTGGTAAATTTGGGGGCTTTTCTACATTGACAATGAAGGCAATGCAGTAGGCATAAGTTCCTCCCCTGAAATGGCCCATAGATGTCAGTATCCTTCCTAAAATTCTGAATCTAGTAGCATGGGATTCACAACTTAGAAGCTCTAGGGGGAAAGTAGCTGATCTAAAGTGCCTGATGACTGGGCACCAGTTGCCTTAAGGCCAACTGCTCTTCACCTTTGGCATAACAAAAATAGATTAAGACCATGCTCTATTAGGGCAGATGACAACTTTTTAAGCATAACAGATCTAGAATTGAACACATTTTTAAATTTCCTTGTGTGTGATACACGGATTTCACTAATTTCAGTAACTTACAGTGCAATCTTAAACATGGATACTCAGAATTAAATCTTGCTAAAATCCACTGGACTTGTTTCCTATAGGAAGTGCGTTCAGGATTGCAACCTTAATTCTTAAAATCTTTCCTAAGATGAAATTCATGGAACTGCTTACAAAGACAGTTTGCCATGAATCCTGCTTTTTAAAAATGTTGCCTCTAGAATGGATATTAAAAAGCTGCCGCACAACTGTGGCAGTTAGTGCAAAAACACAAATACTGCTCATACTTTATGGGTATATGGGATATCTTCCTGCAAAAAGCTTCTTAAAGACTGTGTCATCGAAACTGATTCTTCCCAATACTTCCTTTTTAACATTAGGACTTTAATAGATTAAACATTTGGAATTTGGTCACCATCCTCTGATTCAGAGTATGATATGGTGTACTGAGGAGATATATAGGAAAAATTAATGTATACTGTCATCAATGTTCCCTCTAAGCTGTGGAGTCTTGTGAGCAAAAATTCTACCTTGTGAGCTGCTGGCATTAAAGTTGTGAGCGAGCGATTTGGCTGCTGCATAAATTAGTTTGCTCTGGAGCCATCCCTTCCTGAGCTGAGACCAAAATGTGTGAGCTGGAGGCTAAAAAACTGTGAGCTAGCTCACACTAACTCAGCTTAGAGGGAACACTGACTGTCATACTCCTCTCCTTGCTTTTTTCTCTTCTTTTTTTTTTTAGTTAAGAGATTGAATGTGAAATTTTTATTCTGGGACCTCGTAGGTTGGAGAAGTAAGAATAGGATTCAATTATGACTAATAGTTATTTTGGGATCCCCACTGATTCCTCCCCATCCCGGAGGAGGATGTTAAGAGGAAGTCTAACCAAATGGATTTCATCACCTGCAAGTTGGTTTGGATTTCATCACCTGCAAGTAGGTTTGGCCACAGCCACTGTGGCCCTGTTTTCAAGTCACCAAACAAACTAAAGGTGTTTCTTCAACTGAAGTAACATTTTTTGGGGGGGGCAAACAAGGCTTTTAAAAAAATTAACCTTTGACTACATCCGTTAGTAAGGAGGCTGGCCCCTGTGTGGATAAAGAAAGCCACAAATACACGAGGGCCTAACTAAGCTGTCCCTGGCTCTGTCTCCAAATCCAGTTGACAGATGTGCTCTGCAAGATTTGTTCTCATAATTCCCAGGCACACGAGGGCCCAATTCATATTCGGCCCATAGCATATGGGAAAAGGGGGCTTAAGAGCATTCTCCTTTGCATGGATTCCTGACCTAAAATGGCCCCAGGGAGCTGCTATCTGTCCTGTTGGAGAAATTTAACATGCACCAATAGACTACACATTACAGTTCCCCAATGGGGCAAGTACCAGTTCCCTGGGGCCATTTTGGGTTGTGTGGGAAAACAGTGGGAAGGAACCTCTCTCCTCACAAGCCACAGCAACCAATCAAAATTGGGCCCCCATGCACCTAGGAATTAAGTTCCAAGCACAGAACTCCTAGTGCAGCTCTTGTTGGCTGGGCCCAGGGCCAGACCAGGGGAACACTGTACCAGACAAGGTAGGAGTCTCTATAAACTTGGGAGACTTCCCATGTATGGAGAAAAATGACTGTAATTAAAAAAAAACAAACTTGGAATGGCCTGATGAAGTTTGAGCTGAAAATGTACAAGAGGGGATGGAACGTTGAGAACACATGAGCATCAATTTAAAGTAAAAAAAAAAAGGAGGGGAATATCATGAGAGAATCCTGGATGAGGAGACTGGGGGGTTTTTATCCCCCCCCCTCTAAATTGTTGCCCCTTCCCATGCTTCTTCACAGACCATAGATTGTCTCTTGTAATATTATGCAAAAGTGCTCTGGGACAAATTAGATGTCTTACAATTTATCATACTTTTAATTTTCATGAATGGATGTTTGGCCTGGACATTGCTCACATTTGTATTTGTAGGATGGCAGGTACAGATTGTTACGGCCTTCAACCAAAAACCATACACCGAATTGACTAGTGAGGGTTGAGGGTTTGTCTGCCTTCATCTCAAGCACAGTTAACACTGTTTCTCTAGCCACGTGGGAGCTGCTTTTCTTTATGTGATTTCTCCGTGGCTGAGATAATATTTCAGGGATCTGATCATATTGGTCCTTTGTACAAAAATGGTGTCTTCTCCCTGCAGGGTACTCTCTCCATGGACAGGACCAATGCAATCAACTCCCAGTGATGTGGGGAGCTGCTTCTTGAAAAGCAGTTCCCGCACACCAACTTTGTTTAACATTCCTAGCGGTCTGTGTATGCGGTTTTCCCCCCATCCACACACACAAGAACAGCAGAAAGCCCCCACATTAAAGGGGAGAATCCAGACACTGTTGTGCCCAATCTGGGCATAACTCATCACACTACCTAAATGGGTGGAGGGGGTTGTTGCAGGCTGCACCATGCAGAGGTATGGCAGAGAGGAGTAGGCGGTGACAAGTGACACAAAAGGGTCACCGACATCATGGGAACAGGTGAGTGGATCCCATTCCTGTTCCACTTGCTGCTGTGGTGGGCATGACTTTTTCGCACCCTTGTCTGGAAACGGCTATTCTCTTCACCTGGGTGAGGAAACCCACTTCAAACTCTGATTAAAATGGGACCCATAGTTAGTATTAACGATCGTTAAGGTCAGCGCAGATGTAACGATGAACCTGAATTAAGGCCATTGGGGGACATTAAATGTAAGTTGTGTCAGAAAGAAGAGGAGCAAAGGGGGGAGGGAGGAAGGAAAGGGGCACACTAAGCCAAACGATATCAATTTCTTAACCATACTTTAAAAATTGGGAGAGTTATATCAGGGCCGCCACTCTGAAATGGCTGAGGGCATTATCAACGCTTATATTTCATTCTTGCTTTAAGACTTCCAGACTTTTCTGACCGTGTGGCACTTTTCAATCTTGGCACAAGAAATTGTTCTAAAGTGTCACAGGCAGGACCTTTACGTCTTGCTGAGATCTGAGTTGCTAAAATGGACAAAGCAACATTCATACATTTCCAGCAGAAAACTAGAAAACAAGACCTCTTGATCTTGAATTTGGACAAAAGCCAACTCCTGTACAAGGCACGCTGGACACAAGTAATCTGAGGAAGAAACCCATTTGTGAGGGCAACGGAGAGGACCGGAGTGAGGAAAAGGAAGGAAGAAAGGTGTAAGGGAGGCTCTGAGTCTGACACATTTCAGTTTGTCTAGACGGCTGACACATTTACACCATTGTTAATGCCACGGAAATACAAAGAGCTACTACACACAACAGGAAACCTCTTTCTCCTTTAGCTGTACAAAATTTGTATTCTGTTGAAACTGAATGATCTAATGGAATGGCTAATGAATGGTTCCAGCTTTTTTTTTTACCTGAAAAAACAGGATTACGTTCCATATCAGACCCAGTACCATAGAAGAGTTTCCATCTGCTATTTCTGCAGCATCAATGCTAACCAGTTTTACCTACAGGAAAGTAGGATACAAGCTTTTAAAAGACGCTTAGACAGAAAGAAAAAACAGGTAAATAAATATGCCAAAAATGTGGTTTTATTACAGAATGTACATTTGTCAAATCTAAAGAACAAGAAACATAGAGGCAGTGGAGCTATATTGCAGTATGCTTTAGTTTCCAATGTATTTGATATGAATTATCGGTAGTTCGGATCCAGTGTCAGATTTCCACTAACAGATTTTTGTGGACTCCCGTTTTTCCACTGCATATTCACCCCTCATTCCATTCCCATGGCATTTCAAATGCCCCCCCCCCAAAAGGGTCTGCAGTGCCACAAAAGAAGCTGCCAACTGCCTTTGGTAAGCCACTGCATACAAGTGGCTTCATCATACACATGCAGCTACCTTATACGGAAGGTCCATCAAGGTCAGTATGGTCTACTCAGACTGGCACCAGTTCTCCAGCAGTTCTCCATCACCTACTGCCTGGCCATTTCCCCCCAACTGGAGATGCCAAGGATTGAACCTGGGCATCGCAAAGCAGAGGCTCTTCCACTGAGCCACAGCCCCTCTCCTAATGACAGCTGTTACATGAATTGACCAGTGGCTGACAACACAGGCATGTATACCAGCTCTAAGGCTGGATCTGGCAGCAGAAGAGCCCTCAAGCAATATCTGTCTAGTACATTTCTGAAAAGTACGCAAACGGAGTGTGATTTCAGCTAAGCATACTTTTATTAGTCAGGAACAAGACACCTAGGCCGGCTCGCAGGCCGGCTTATATTCCTACTGAAACCCACCACCAAACACACACACCACTCCCGATAGGCTATTTACAGTGACCGAGAGACCTATTGGCCTCAAAGCCTGGGACCTAGCCCTTTCATTGGGCCTGGCTAGGATCCTACTGGCCCATTGTCTTTTGGCATGAAGCTTGAGGTGTTTGTGCCTGGGGCATGTCCAGGCATGCCCGGCACTGTCAGGGCTCGATACACTACAATTTCCATCCCCCTCTTCCTCCAGGGACCTCAGAGCGGCCTTCATGGTTATCCTTTCCTCATAATTTCCACCATCCTTCCCCTATGACAACAATGGTTTTCCTACTAATAGTTGGGGAAGTGCTGTGGCTCAGTGGCAGAGCATCTGCCTTGTACACAGGAGGTCCCAAGTTCAATCCCCGGCATCTAGTTAAAAAAAAAAAGACCAGGTAGTAGGTGAAGTTGAAGACCTTGACCTGAGAGCCTGAAGAACCTGCTGTTGAGCAGACAATACTGTTTGAAACAGATTTACCAGAAGGACTGGGGGACATTATTCATTCAAAAATACAGTCCGAGGGGAACCGGAACACTGTGGGGGTTTGGAAAAATGATCAGAATGCACTTCCAAAGCAAATGGGACTCTTTAAAAAAACCCTCTCAACTATTATGGCATTTCAGCTATCATTACATCTGCCTTACTGGAAAGCCTTTTATACTTCTTTTTTATATTTGGACATGATCAAGTTGCCCAGGAGTGGGATTTCTATCAGAAGTCTGAGATCCCACACTGATGTTTATTGCAGATGGCAACATCAGAATATTACTCAGTCAGACAAAACTGAATGCTGTCTGAAGTCCAGTTTCTAAGTGATGAAACATTCAGGAATATTTAGCCTTTCCTCTAAACCTTTTAGAATTCTGCATAACCAGGTATCTTGACAAGCCCCCCTTTCACTTCGTGCTTTGCGGTTTAATTCACTCTCAAGTTTGATTAAACAGAAATGAGAATAAAGAGAATCCTTTAGCCCATAGCTTACTATAGAGATTTCAGTCCCAACAAGAGGTTATTGTTGTGAATCATTTCTCTGAAGCAACATTACAAACTCAGTTAAGGACCAAAACTTTGAATGGTTTAATCCCACCACCCTTTAAACGTCAGCTCTATAAAACCTAAGCACTTTCTGTTTGCAAACTGTGTTACAGCCTCTTGGTTCTTGCTGTAACCAGAGGAGGTGGCCCACTATCATCCCCAAGGTGAAACTGGGGAGGGGGAGGATTGTGACTTCCTCCAGAGTTATGCAGATGCAGGACTACTCTCAGTTCCAAGTCCAACTTCTCTATCCACTAGCCCCTCCCATGGAGTCTCCAAACTTGGAACTGTGTCATGGGTCCTGTTAATGAGCACCCAAAGGGGCCTTAGAGACACGCTTTCACAAACTGCACTGGAGGAAGTTCACGAATGCTGCTTTGTGATGTGATGAGAGAAGCTACATCACTGCCAAACACCTCCCCATTATGCAGCTACTAAAGATTTAGGGGCTATGTTTGGATTAGGAAATCAGTAATCCTGGTTGTACTACCATACCCGTTTTTACTTCTCAGTGGTTCCTAGCATGAGCCACTTACAAGTCTATGACCGCAGACACCCACAGAAGGGGCTGGAGATTGAGTCAGTCCATCTCCTTCAAAAAGTTCAGCTTGCCCAGGGAAAGCTCCCTGCCTTAAGTGGGCGCAAGTGACTATGACATAGGAAGGTCCTTAGCAACAAGATGTGTGTGTTAAATGTGATGTCAAAAGCACATGCCAAGTTCAGTGATACTAGAGGAGGGGTTCAGCAAAAACACCATTCAACCTGCTGCAGGTTCCTGATTCAGTGAAGTTTCAGCTATGGCCATGTCTATGATGGCATTCAGACTGGAAGCCATGAGTGGTTTGAAACATGAACAGGCCAGAAATCCTGTCCTGATGCACAGAGCCAAGACTGAAGACTTCCAGGTTTAGGAAGTCTTCAATCGAATGGGTAACCTGAGAGGACATTCAAACTGGGGTGCTCTAACAAACTGCAATTTGTCTCTTGTCTACAAACTGAGTGGTACAGAATCCCTTTGTTAAAACCATTCTAATTCTGATAACACAATCAACTGTGCATGGAACAAGGACTTTCTAAACCTGGATGTTTTCAATCTGTGCAAGGCACAAGAAGGTGAGGAATGAGCAGGGAGGCAACGCAGAAGACTGAAGTTTCAGGTTTGTTCATGTAATGAACAAATTGTGGTTTGTTGTGATGTTGGAATGCAGTCTACAGGCCTGAAGCTGTTGCAGGAAATTCGACTGTTTTTTTTAATATGCATATGGAACTTTTCAGTTTAGAAAACAGACCACTAAGGGTAAATAATATGCAAAGGAGTTCCTGCTACAAAACGAGCCCTGCATATAATGAACAAATTGAGGTTTGTTGTGATGTAGGAATGCAGTCTACAGGCCTGAAACTGTTGCAGGAAATTCGACTGGTTTTTTAGTATGCATATGGAACTTTTCTGTTTAGAAAACAGACCACTAAGGGTAAATATGTTAGAGGTTTATAAAAGTATAGGCTAAGTAAAGAGAGTGGACAGAGAGAATGTTTTCTCCCTCTCCCAAAATACTAGGGCTGCGGTCACACGTACCAGATAACGCGGGGGGGGGGGGGGGGGGGGGCATCCACACGCGCTTTACTCCGCAGCTTCGGCCGGGCGGTACGGGTGGGGGGCGGGGGCGCGACGCTTGCCAGATGTGTCCATGTGACCACGCCCATTAAATCTGCCCGGCATTCATCCCTCCCGCGTGGCTAATTGTGTATGTGATCGGAGCCTAGAACTCACAGACATCCAATGATGTTGATGAGCAGTAGATTCAGAACGGACAAAAGGAAATACTTTACACGAGTGATTAAAATGTGGACTTTGCTGCCAGAGGGTATAACAATGGCCACAAGCACAGACAGCTTTGAAAGGGAACTGGATTCATGGAGGAATGGTCTATCAGTGGCTAGCCATGGTGACTAAAGAGAACCACCGTGTTCAGAGGCAGTCAACCCGTGAATCTCAGTGCTAGGAAGCAATGTCAGGGGAAGGCCTTGGCCTTTATGCCATTATTGGCCTTGCATAGTAACTGGTTGGCCACTGTGTAAAGCAGGATGCTGGACCAGATGGATAACTGGTCCGATCCTGCAGGCTCTTATGTTCTTATCCCAACATCCCTATGTAGGTATGTGCCATCAAGTCACAAATGACTTATAGTGACCCTAGTAAGGGGCTTTCAAGTCAACTAAGAAATGAGGTGACTTGCTATTGCCTTCCTTTGCCTTCCTTCTCTACCCACCATAGTCATGTGACTCATGCAAAGAGGGGAGTAGTAAGGCAGCCATGTAAGACCAGGCCTAAGCTTCTGTTTCTCCCTACTGCAGGTATGCTAAAGTCTGGGTATCACCAGAGGCGAGAGCTTTTGGAATGAGCCCTTAGCCCTATGGCTTTCAGCCCATGGCCCCATGTGAGCCAGGAGTGGAACCAATACCAGATCAGGGTGTTGGATTGTCTTGTATGTATATAGCTTAAACTGCATTTTTTTAAATTATGCAAGCCACTGTAAGTCCCAGCTGTGGGAGAAAGCAGGATAAAAGATATTTGGAGGAGGTATTTGTGAATTTCCTGCCTTATGCAGGGGGTTGGACTAGATGATCCTCGATTCTATGATTCTATTCTATGGAAAATATTTAATACATAAAACCCATTGAATTGAGACATGTTCTGTCCCCTCAGGAGAGAATAAGCATCTCCCCATGGGGAACATCTGCCCTTGCATACTACCCAGAAGCTGCAGTGCCACATGTAAAATTACCCTAGATGGCAACACCAGGGCAGAATGGGTTTTTGCTTGCCAGAGGAACACAAAGTTCCAACCTGTTGCATGCAAAAGTCATGAATTTCCTTTCTAGATTTCCATCTATATGAAGGAAAATCAAATGAGCGACTTTGATAATTTAGCAGAGAAATATAAAACTCGTGATGCCAGAAAGATTCTTAGAATCAGATGACTCAAGTTACTAACCTTTAAAGCGAATGGAGTGAGAACTCATTAAAGATTACAGGCACTGCTTGTTATTTTCTTTTAATAATAAGGCTCTTCTTCCTTTAATCTGGTTGAACATTTTATATTACATTTTAAAAAATATATATATATGTTTTTTTTTAAGAGCCCGTAGGAGTTTCCCCTCACTCTGCATACCATATATATATATATATGACCATCTAGGCTCAATATCAATCAAAACCCAATTTCTTCAGCCTATACGTTACTTAGGAAGTCCAACAACAACTATTTTTCAGCAAGAAATACTGGGAAAAGTGAAGAAGATGCTCTCAGATGTTGAACTACTTACGTTGCTATCCTCCAAAAACTTAAGGGCTTTTGCAATATTGTTCAGTCGAAAAATACGATGGGTCGAGGGCTTGTACTCGTGCAGCTAAGAAACAAGGAAGCAGAGTGGGTTGAAAATTAAGTTTGTCAGTGAGGACTTTAAAAAGAAGCCATTAATAGTCTCAGGTAAGAACTGTAATAGTCAAAGTACATGCAGTGCTAAAGACCTATGAACAAAGCCCCAGGCATATAACGTAAGTGCAAGAATCAGCCACAGGGGTCCCTTCCCCAATGTGGAATGGGATTTTGGAGAAGAAAGAGGTTATTTTTGCCACTGCCCATTTTCCCCAATTGGAAATGCCCCCATATGGGGGAAAAGACAGTAAAGAAAGCAAGCACCTGTCTTTTTCCCCTCAAGTGGTGGCAAAGCAAGCTAGGGGTCCAATTTCCAATCAGCAAAATTGCGCAGGAGAAACAGTTTAAACCCACCTTTCCCCCAATGACATGACTCTAACCCAGGGGTGTCAAACTCATTTGTTATGAGGGCCGGATCTGACATAAATGAGACCTTGTTGGGCCGGGCCACATGTACTACCAGGAGCAGAGATATAAACTTTAGAAAGGACACAAATACAAAGGGTTTTTTTTACTTAAAATAAAAACATGCTTAAAACATTACCACTCTTGCAACATTTTGTATATTTAACAGTGTCTGATAACTGACACCTCTTCCTCTGAATTATTCCATCAAAATGTCTGAGCTGTTGCAATCTTGAGTATGCTGTTCAGGTGTGTATCTGTAAGCTGCAAACCTATGATGATGCAGCAGCAGCAGAACTGGAAGAAGAAGCAGAAGATAGCCAGTTCCACTGTGGGCCTGATAGAAGCCCTCCAGGGGCCTGATCCGACCCCCGGGCCGCATGTTTGACACCCCTGCCCTAATCCATATTGCTTTTCTCTCTCCCCCCCTCAACCCCTGGGAGATGCTTTTTGAAGTAATTTGCAGTCAGGGATCCAGCCATGGATCCTGACCATTATATACAGTTTGGTCCCAAGACTTTAATTTAATAAACCATTCCGCAAAAGGGTATCTCATTGTCTTTTTAAAAAATAGCAACTGTCATTTCTAGAACTGCCAACTCTCTATAGTTGGCTTTGCACCCCTCTTTGTTCAACTGCTGTTTGTAGTATCTGTACATGCCAATTGACTGACTGCCTGACTGACTGACAACTCCTGGTTGGGAAATATCTGGAGTTTGGGGGGCTGCGACCTGGGGACAGTGGGGTTTAGTGAGGGAAAGGACCTCTGCAGAATATAATGCCACAGAGTCCACCCTCTAAAGTGACCATTTTCTCCAGATGAACAAATCTCTACCATCTGGAGATCAATTGCAAATCTGGGAAATCTCCTGGCCCTAACTGGAGGTTGGCAATTCTGGTCACTTGTTAGAACAAGGAATTTTTTAAAAAATTAGATCCCTATAAGCAATTTCCACTATTTTTAAATTCTGCCCCTACAATTTACTGTACTTGTAGGTAAAACAGATCTCCGCTTTTAAGTGGCTACTGCCATCAGGGCCACACTGTAAGTAATGTATTTATGATCAGCATTCGTTTTTTCCTTCCCTATTTAGCCTTTATCAGCCTACATAATGCTTCCGCAAGCTACTTCCTCCCATACCACACAGAGGGAGATGGATGGAAAAGATAATGCTTTGAGATGGTCTAATGGATCACATAAACAGAACTGGTATCGTTGTGAGTCTCAAGGTAAACAGCCCTTGAGAAACTGCAAAGGCATCATGTGAAAAGCACAAGGCAGGAAGAGCCTTTCACAGTCTACCAAAGAAACAATCATGCAGATAACTCATTCAAGGCCACAAATCCTTTTTATATGGCAGTAATGGGGGAGGCAAGAGGGACTGAATCTATTCAGATTTGTACAAGAAGGTCCCTTATTTAAAAAAAAATAAAAGAAAAAGAAAAACACATAATTTTGACATTTGTGTTTGATTTTGTGCTGTCGGGCAATGTTTTTGCATCATCGCCAATGCCCCCTGAAAGTCTATTTTTTTCCTCTTAGAATAGCTGCTTCTGGCAGGTATTTTTTTTTAGGTAAGCTGGTATTTCCCATTTGCTCTAACTCAGTCTAGTAATTTAACACAGCAGAATTCATACATTGTTCTACACTTTCATAACCCATTCCCATTCTTAAGTATGCTGCATGGGGATCTGAGGTAACAAAGGAATTTGCTAAGGTCAAAAAACAATTTCTTACAATGGGTCTCCAGAGTAGGGGGTTGGAAGTATTTTTCTTATTTATATGCACCAAGCTAGGCCCTGGAATTCAGCACATTCAAGTTTTCCTTATTTTAAAAGGCAAGTTTCTAGCTCAGCAGTACCCAACACGAAGACCATGGATGCCCACTGATATACTGGACAACACCCGTCTGCTTCTTCCCTAAACTAAAGAGCCAATCCTGGCTTTCCTCTACCTTGTTAGAGCAGGAGGTGCTTCAGTAGCTCTCAAGAAGCAAAAACTGTGACTTTGGGGACAACTGCTGCCATCATAGGAGGAAGGACACTTAGCTAGAAACTTCCAAAATATCGTAATTGCCCCTCTCATGGCAGACATTTTGTGATTGGTCCCCACTACCCTTTCTCAAAATTCCAACAGTGCCCACAGGCTCAACAAGGTTCTAGATCTTAGCACTGCAACAGTAGGCTTTTAAAAGAGTGGGAAGGGGAAGACTTGGCTTTCACTTGGCTTGCAGCCCTGAAGTGCGTACATATGCTTATAAAAAAGGGTCAACATGTGTTCACTTTACAAATGAAAGTGGGGGCCAGTACCTGGATAAATGTGCAATTTCAATCACACAATTAGCTGTACATGCACTGAACATAGCATGAGAATTACTCAATGCATGTATGAAGAAAAATGGATTGTATGTACATTCGCTGTAACTTGTGAACAAGTTATATAATGTATGCCCGTTGCATGTTATTCCTTTACCAAGAAGTGCCTTCTTTTTTAAATGGACTGAGGAACTTGGGAGTGTGTTCCCTGTGCTTGGGTGTAAAAAAAAGAGCATGGGCCACAATATAAAAGTGCTTCTATTTACATAAGGGATGGGCAGCATAAAATATGCACACTGCAGACCTTGTAAGTATAATCCCTGAGGTCTTGTTCGAATTAGGGGAATGTTAGACTTCAATTTTGTTTTTAAAAATGTCACGCCTTGTAACTTCTGGCCTATACATAAATCTCACTGTGAGGATGTTTCAGCCCCTGAGCAAATACCCCCAGCCATATAGCTTAATATACCTTGCCACAGGAACTGGGTCCATTACATGGCAAGTTTTCCTTCCTGAGGTTCATTATCACTGGTGTTTGCCAGTGAGGGTAGGAGAAGTACCCGGAGGGAGGGAAGATGAACTTGCCAAGAGGATGCCTGTCCTCATTAGAGGAGTACCAGTCAGATGTAAGACAAGCCGGAAAGATCAATTATAGAAAGTAAATAAGAATCCGATCGATTTATGATGCGATACTAAGTACAAGAACTTGGTGCAAAGCATGAGTGGGACAGCGGCTGTTAGTGTAATATGATTTATACAGCTAAAGCTTAACCAGGTTCATGCAATTTCTATCAATGCAACTAAAATGTAAAGATTTGGCTGTCTGGCTCCACATATGAGTCTGATCCTGTCTTTAGGCTGCAAGAGGCCTTTCAAGCTTGACTTTGTTGGAAATGAAGGATTGTGCAGGGTTCCCTTGTAGAGAGCACACAAGTGCTTCAGAAGGGGGCAACGGAGCTAGCAAAACTAAATAGATAAGCTCCTGTATCTTTCCTCTTGTCTGCTCTACTGCTCTCTCTTTGTTTACCCAGAATGCTACTCAAAGGTTTTCCCTCCTTCTGGCATACTTCTCTTCCTACAGCTTCTCTTTCTAACTGTCACGCAGGCAAGATGTGTTCTCTGCAATTTCTCACCATCCTAGCCTAGATAAATAGCTAGAATTCCTATTCTTTGTTTCCTATCAAGGTATGGAGATCCTATACAATAAAGGATTTCTATTACTTTCATGAAGTAACAAGCCTCATGTGGACTAAAGCAACACAACACTTCCACAGTGCAAGGTGACCGTGACCCTATTATTAAAAAATACATACCAATTTTTGCCCTGAGAGAACCTCCAGTAAAGCCATCAAAATTTTGCCATCTTTAACATCAGCAAACAGATCTTTCACTTCCAACGGGGGACTGCACTGCAAAGACAGAAGAGCAGGACTGAAATATGCACAGACATCTTTAATATCCTTTGAGTTGTATTAAAACAAATGAACTGCTCTGAACGCTGAAAGTGTTAAGACACGCGCTGAATAGTGATTGTTATCATCCACATTGTAACAGATTTGAAGCATCCATGGATCTCACTTTCCAGACGTGATGGCCTGTATACCGCTCTACTCAACAAAGTCTGAAGCCTTCTTTGAGCCACTTCCATTGGATTGGTAGAATACAGGCCCTTAATTTCGGCATTCTTCTTTTGCACTCTTACCTTTTCCAAATGCAGATTTATCCATCGGGTAAATGTTCTTTTCTGTACATTTTCCCTCTCCACTGCAAAAGAAAGAAAGACATTGCTCAGATTCTTTAAAGATGGAAAGCTGGTATTAAGAATCAACAAACAAAAATGCATAGGGAAGGGGAATGACGCCTAGCTTTGGCCACCAAATGAGAAGGGAGCACTCACTGGAGAAGACCCTGATGCTGGGAAAGACTGAAGGAAAAGAAGAAGGGGACGGCAGAGGATGAGTTGGTTAGACAGTGTTATCGATGCAACGGACATGAAATTAAGCAAACTTCAGAGCACAACGAAAGACAGGAGGGCCTGGTGTGATGTGGTCCATGGAGTCGCGAAGAGTTGGACTCGACTGTGCGACTGAACAACAACAACCACACACTCAGGGTGGCCCTCAGTTCCTGTTGCCCACTGCCACTTAGAGTGGTTGTGGGGAATAAGGTAAAAAATAAAAAGAATTAAAAATGTTAAAACACTCACTGACATCAAGAGTGTGATGACATCACTTCCAGGCGCAACCTGGAAGCAACAGCGGTAACTTTAGGAATTGCGAGAAACTCAATGGCAAAATCATAGAGTATCCACTGATTCCTAGAGCTACCCATTGTCCCAGAAATGATGTCACTGCAATTATGGTGGTACTCCCCCACACACACTCCTGCTGGTTCTCAGGCTGAAGAAAATGGCCGCTTTGAAAGATTGACTCTATGGCATTATACCCTGCTGAGGTTCCTCCTCAATCCCCCCTCCCCAAGCTCCAACCCCAAGGTCTCTGGGAATTTTCCAACCCAGAATTTGTCCTTCCTGGTAACCGGTAAGAGATGAGGGGGATTTACCAAGAGTGGGACGGAGGCCCAGGTGATGTCACCAGTGATGTGTCTACACTACTTCCGGTGTGTACAGGAAGTGACGTCATCATGTTGCAATGTCAAGGCAATGCTCTGGTATTTGTCAAAAACTGTATAGTAAAAAATGGCTTTTACCACAGAATTTTGGCCAAATACCAGAGCGTCACCTGGAAGTTGCCGATTTGATGGCATCACTTCCTGTGTATGTCAGAAGTGATGTTGCCACACTGCCAGCGATGAAGCCTGGACCTCCCTCTCACTCTTGGCAAGTCCCCCCACATCAAGCCTGAACTCTCCCTAGAAACTAAAATGACTAAACTGAGGCTATCATACTTTGGTCACATGATGAGATGACAAGACTCAATGGAAAAGGCAATAATGCTAGGAGAAGTTGAAGACAGTACGAAAAGAGGAAGACCCAACACGAGATGGAGTGACTCAATCAAGGAAGCCATGGCCCTCAGTTTGCAAGACCTGAGCAAGGCTGTTAATGAAAGGATGTTTTGGAGGACATTAATTCATAAGGTCACCGTAAGTCAGAAGCAAGCTGATGGCACTTACCACACACATACATGACTCAGTCATTCAATCCCCTATCTGCAGTCGAAAAGAGCACAATTTAAGAAGAGTTTGCCCACCTTGTTTGTGTGAAATTGGCCTTTATCTAGGTTCTAGGGTGGATAAGAGCATAGGGAAATGAGTTCTTCTCTTGGGTCTGTTTGGGAGACCTGAGCAAGGCTGTTAACAATAGGATATTTTGGAGGCTATCATTTCATTGAGCTGCCTTAAGTCAGAAGTGAGGTGACATCACTTAACACACACACTCACTTGAAATCTGAACACGGCACTTTGGAAAGGCATATACCATACAGGTACACTTGTGAATTAAGGTTGCCTTTATGGCCACCCAGATTTCTCCTGGTGGGCCAAAATCCACCCCCCTACTTGGGCCAGGCCAGCAGTGGCAAGAAGAGCCAACACATGAGAGACTCAACCAGCCTGCCTGTGTAAGGAGGGCCTGCCCACCCAGCCCAGGGGAGGCATTGCCTGGTATGCCCAAGGCCTAAACAGAAGAGACTCCCAGCCCACTAAGTCAATGTGGGGCTTGGAAAGAGGTGGCTGGCTGGGCAGGAAGGCTGTGTCATCTTCTTCCCACACCTAGGGGGTGGAGCAGGCAGGCTGCTGCTCCTGCTTTCCTTTGGGAGGGGGCCAGGGCCAGGAATAGGCTTGCCAAGTCTCCTCGGGGGCGGGGAAACCCCCGCCCGAGAGGCCCGTTACCCGCCGCCTGCGGATTGGGCCCCGGGGGGAACCCCATCCCCAAAGCACATGACATGCCCGGCATCAGCACGTCACCCGGAAGTGATGCAATCACGTCGGGCACGTTGGGGGTGGGGCCACAATCATCCGAGGGAAAACTCTATGGTTTTCCCTTGGATGATTGTGGCCCCGCCCCCAACGTGCCCGACGTGATTGCGTCACTTCTGGGTGACGTGATCGCGGCGCGCGCGCACAATACGCGCACATGGACTCCCAGAACAAGACTGGACTCCCCCGCTCTGCCACAGGTGAGGACTTGGCAACCCGGAAATACCAGGAGGCAGGCCCTTTTTTCAGGGCTGTTTTCCCATCCCAGGTCCCTTGTTGAGGTGGCAGTCTTAAAATGTACAATTTCAATTCTTCTGACCATGAATGGATTCGTAATTGTTTCAACCAAAGAGGGGTTTTTCCTTTTAATGTAGAATGTCTTTGTTAAAAATAAAATCCTCCAAATAACATAAACAGACTCTATTTTAGGTAGGAGGAGGGAAGGGAATGTCAACATTTCCCCCCTGCCTTTCCACAGAATTGGAACAGCACAACAGAACTCCTGTACAACATAAAACAATATTTTTAATACATCTCTTTCAAAACGAACCCCCAGTATACCAAACACACATTTTTGGCATACCATGGGTTAATAGTGGAGCCTGCATTGTTGTGCTAAGGAGATATCTGGGGCAGTCCACACCAGCAAGTCTGAACCTGTCACGACTGTGCACTCAGCAGGGAGATTACAGCCACCCTATACGTGTGATAAACTTACTCGTTTTCTTAAAAGTTTTACAAATATGTACACCATACTCCCATTATGTTTTGATGTATATGCTTTACGAATCGTAGATGTGCATTTTAGAAAATGCCTTATGGCACTGCGTGTTTGGCCACGTTGAACTTTGTAGCCAATGCAAGTGTTCATTCCTCAGCAAGTATAAGTTTCCAAAGATGCCGCACACACTATCCTTTCCCCCCCACTTGTTAGTATTTTTCACACATTTGTTTCCTTCCTCCCACTCCTGATCTTTTTTGTAGAATTCCCGAATGCTGGTAGAGCCTGCAAATCATTACAGTTTGTAGCACTGTACCGACTCCATAAATGTTATACAGTTTCCATAAAACGGGTAGACCATGCCTTTCTTTGCACCTTACTCTTGTGAAAAAGGCACAGCAAAGAAGTCAGTAGAAATCTAAAACATCTACCCTCCAGCATATATAAATTACCAAATCTGTGTTTGGGAATTTTCTGAGCATCTAGAGAGCAGTAAAAGATTATAAATATTATAATTACACACAACATACAGCCAGGACTGTTCACAAACCTGTGGCCCCTTGCCAGAAAGAAGTAACACTCGCTAGGAGAATTTAATAATATAAGCAGTAAAAGTAGAATAGTCTGGTTTGGGTTTAACTTTTAAGCGTTTTAGGCTCCATAAAGACAACATAAACCTGAGAGGAGAAACATCCACCATGCTATGCATTCTATTCCTCCATGCTGTTCGCTTTAGGAAAAAGAAGGTTTCTGCAGAGGTAAAGGAATGGAGGGGCCAAGAGCTGAAATGCAGGGCTGCCTTAGAAAGCCATACTCCAAGTCTGTTGCACATCAGCATTTTATTTACAGCCTACCTTTCAAGATGGTGACAAATCAACCTGACAGCTTAAAAGATCAAGATAACCCTATAAAATGCACATAATGTCACATTTTTAAAAAATAAAGCTGACAGAACCGCACAACATGAATATTTTAATGTTAATATTTTATATTTGTTATTGGTTTTTATGTCGCTTTTTCTTTATTGGTTTTAATGTTGTAAGTCACCACGAGACCCTTTGGGTGAGCAATGACTAAAAAAAAAACACCTTAAAAAAATCTAATTAATAAATAAATAAAAATGTGCCAAAGTCAGTCTTAAATCCAGAACACCAGATCACCTCAAAGTTTTGTTTTGTAAACAAGGAACTGTGACCATGACAAATCTAGAGGTGTGGCATCAACATTTCAGGAAACCTTGGAGGTATTTCACTTCAATATCATGCCAAGAAAAAGAGACGATGACAGCTGTTAAAACCTATCAGGGCTTTCTCCAGGTTTTTGTGAACAAAAGGCAACAGGCCTGTGACTGGCTCCCTACCCTCTCATTGGGGTTGCAGATTCTGGGACTGCAAATTCATGGGGACACAGGGGTGGAGCCTGGGTGGGTGGGGTTTGGGAAGGAGAAGAACTTCAGTGATGTATACCGCTGGGTCCACCCTTCAAAGCGACCATTTCTGCCAGGAGAACTGATCTCTGTCATCTGAAGATCAGTTGTAATTCTGGGAGATCTCCAGGTACCCTCTGGAGGTTGGCAATCATGCCGTTCATGGTCCCTTACCACCCTGTCATATGTATAGACATGGAGCCAACGGCTTGTCGAGCAAGGCTGGGGGTCACTACTCCTCCCACCACATACGCTTATTAGGAGTAGTTGTGGTTGCTCCTTCTTGTCGCCCATCTTTCTGGGCAGCCAATCAAGGAGGCTACCATCTGTTTCTAAACCTTCCCCTGTTGATGTGACCACATCTTCATGACCAAGGACTTTGTCTTTGTCGCAGCAGCATTCATACCCCAAACATCACTAACCATGTCTCTCTTCCATAGTCCTCCATGCTGAGGACATCTTGAGGGAACCAGAGAACACTGGCTCCGTTTCCACGGTGACCATAGTCCCAGCCCATAACACCAAGAGCAACCCCATTGTCAGGGCAGCAGGGATGCTGCCTTGGGCTACCTGAGCCCTGGATGTCTCCTGAAAGGCTGGAGGAGGAAAGGGAAAGATAGATCGCTTGGCCTTTCCCTGACACTCATCCTCCTTGACACGTTTCAGCAGGCCTGGCCT